TAGTTTTGCAAAAGCCGTATTTTAATCTTTAGACCAGGAAGAATTCATGGATCTTTGCCCATTACTGGGAAACAGAGCCCGGATACTCCTCACATCATAATTGCTACAGCGGGCTGTACGATGCTTGGAGTAGTCATTAAAGCAATGAAGCCAACCCATAATCATGGTACATGTATTTTTAATAAATATTTGTGAGATGTTGTAAGCCAAGTGTCTGGAAACAGCAGGGGTAGCTTGCTCAAACTATCACAGGGTAAGTGTGCCTTCACTGAGTGAACCTTTTGTAATGTCCTGGTAGAGTTGATGTGACAAAGAATCACTCTTTTTTCTTGCTGTATGTACAATTTCCAAAGCAGCAAGGACCTAGTGGTGGTCGCTTTCAGTGGTGGCTGATGTGAATGGTGTGCAGATATTCGATGTAGGTGTTGGCCAACGGAAGCTGGCATTAAATAGCATATATAATTCAGATTTCCAAATGATCTTGACTTTCACTCTTCATAGTAAATAATGACTTGCTGACATTTAGGAGCCCCCTCTGACCTCCCCTATTGTCTAAAATAGGTAGTTATTTAATGTAAGCTAATATAACCCTGATAGTTTATTAGGTTTACATCAATTTGTAAAGATAAGTAAAACATAGAATATCTATTTTGTACTCTCATTTCGTACTAGAGTTTTTAAGATCTCGTTTTACAGATATGTTTATCACAAAGAGTTATTTTAGCAATTAACACAATAAATCAGGCCGTGTTATTATCCCAAAGAGTGGGCATTTAGTCCCTCGAGAATTATAATCCCTATGAGCCTTGGATAACCTGCAGTGAGATTGATCTCTTGATATTACAATCTCCAGAGGATTTTATGGAATTTTGTAATTACAGAGAATACAAGGCGCACTCTTATTGTATCTACAAGTCTAATATAAACACCTGGCAATCGTAGTCCGTCTGTCTGCTCCTGTGTTTTCATGTGACAGATCATTCGGTAAGGGGCAGCAATTCATGTTCAACATACATATATAAAATAGCTTTTCCATCTTAAGCTATTTGAAAAAAAAATCTGTTAATGACACAAAAATAATGTAATTTTTAAGAGAATGATTATTTTGGATTTAATATAACTTTAAGCTCAAACTAATTGGTAAGTATAATGTTTTTATAAATACATGAGAGGAGGAGAGAATGTGTAAGATAAATTATACAGCCATTAAAGTTATAGGAAGCTGTGTGCCTGAGCCATTAAAGGGATAGGAAGGTGTGTGCCTGAGACATTAAATGGATAGGAAGGTGTGTGCCTGAGACATTAAATGGATAGGAAGGTGTGTGCCTGAGACATTAAATGGATAGAAAGCTGTGTGCCTGAGCCATTAAAGAGATAGAAAGCTGTGTGCCTGAGACATTAAATGGATAGGAAGGTGTGTGCCTGAGACATTAAATGGATAGAAAGCTGTGTGCCTGAGCCATTAAATGGATAGGAAGCTGTGTGCCTGAGACATTAAAGGGATAGAAAGCTGTGTGCCTGAGACATTAAAGAGATAGAAAGCTGTGTGCCTGAGACATTAAAGGGATAGGAAGCTGTGTGCCTGAGCCATTGAAGGGATAGGAAGGTGTGTGCCTGAGCCATTAAATGGGTAGGAAGCTGTGTGCCTGAGCCATTAAATGGATAGGAAGCTGTGTGCCTTAGCTTAGAGGATGCCAAGATTACAGACAGTTAGACAGACCACGGCTCTCTGAAATAGACATGATTGTATTTAGGAGCACAGGATAACTAACTATTCTTCTATGCCAGTGTATATTTATATTTTATCCTAATTATGCCATTAATTCGTGATTTAGTGTATGCCTTAATTTCTTTGCAAACATTCAAAAGCTTGTCTTACACCTTGATCCTTAATAAATGTTTTCTATTATTATTTAAAATGATTGAAAACACTACTAAATTATGGCTCTGATTTAATATTGTTGTATAAGATTATCAATTGATTTAATATTTTGGTTAAACTTTCAAAATATCTTTTTTAAAATATTAAACCATCACAAAATATTTGATATATTTAAAATATATCATTATATTAAAAAAATGTATAAAAATAGCTTTCAAAATATTAGATAATTTAAAAAACGGTTATTCAAGAATATTAAATCTTTCAAAAGCTTATGCAAACATTTTAAATCAATGCTGATATCTGTAGTAATGTATTCTACATAGCATCGTTGTAAACACAGCTCCTTGATCTTCAACCTCCTGACTGTTGAGTTTAATTCATAGTGTAAGAGTTTTTACGTACAAGGATGTGTACAAACACATAAACATACAACAAAACATTGGGCGCATGTACAGATTGTGTTTACAGAATAATTATAAAATAATAATATAATTAAAGTAAAATTCTGGGGGTACTTCACGCCCCATAACAACTTCATCTCTATTAAGTTGTTATGGTGACTGTAAGCCCTGGCTGCATTCTTAATTTATGAGGTTAAACCATTTTTATACAGTTTAACCCCGATGATGTCTCCTCTGGTGCCATCTGTCCTTCCTCCAGGTTGCTGCATTGCGGTGGAAGGTTTGGGCACTGATGATTGTCTGTAATGTTTAGAAATGTATGTACGCTATGGGCACTCTCTGCACCTTAACCACTGCATCTTAGTATAGCAGGTTATAATGACACAAAAAGCCAGAGAGTGCTATTCAAAAAAATGTTTGTTAAATTGTTTAGTAGTGGTTTGACAAAAATCAGGACAGTATGATGCATAGAGTGCATTAAGTACATTTATACAAATGTATTTATTTATTTTAGAAATTTATAAATGTAACCTTTTTTAAATGAGTATTTTTTTTTTTAAAAACAACATTTAATAACAGTCATTCAATACATACAAAGAATGTTTGCAAGTTACGCAAGTTACACATTTTATAATTAACAGTAGTGATTGATATTTGCCATTCTAAATCGCAGACTTATTATATATTGGCAAGGTTGTATCTGTACTTCTATAGATATTATTCTAACTAACAAATCATCTTCTGCATATTCTTGTTGGAGCACTGATTATATAAATAAACCCTCAGAGGAAGTAAAAAAATAGATTTATATAATTTAGTTCCACCTCTTCCTCTGAGTCTCACAGAGAGCATCATTCCTATAGGGGTCTAGTCACTGGCAGCAACTTCGAACCATGGTGTCCAGGTGTTATAGTTTGAGGTCAAATTGCCATTCATCACATCAAAATAATATTCCATTTTCTCTTGATATGTAATTTGGGTAACAATTTGTTCCCTGTCTAAAGGATTTCTAAGATGCTAAATTTTTGATAATACTTTTCCTGTTTCATCCTTAATCTTCTGCAAATTTGGGCATTCCCACCAGATTTGATATTGAGTACCAGAAGGCTGGGTGCATCTCCAGCAGAAGTCAGCAGTGGATTTATCAAACCTACTTAGGCGTGCCGGGACCAAATACCAATGTTGTAATAGTTTATAGAATATTTCCTGTAAATTAACTGAATGAATGAACAGATTTTTTTAAAATGTAACCAAGTCTTACACCAGATCTGCAAATGTAACCTTTTTAGAAATTTTAAATGGAAAAATGTTTTAGAGATTGCACTGTGTTTATTGTTATTGTAACCTTTGATTCTCTCATAAACTTTTTTCTCTATTGAGAAGAGGGACGGAGTCTAGCGACCTGGTTATGGGAAGAGACCTTCATACTAACGTGACAGAATTCATTTTCTTAGGATTCTCTGACTTATCCCTTAGTCTTCAAGCCATTGTCTTTAACTTCTTTCTGTTTTCCTACATCTTGACATTGCTGGGAAATGGTGTAATCATACTGACTATTTCGTTGGACCCTGCATTTCAAACTCCCATGTATTTCTTCCTGAGGAACCTATCATTCCTTGAGCTTTGCCTAACTACTGTCACTGTTCCAAAAGTCCTGCATGATTTCCTAAGTGGAAATAGGTCCATCTCCTTCATTGGTTGTGCTGTTCAGATGTTTGTCTTCTTCTCTGTTGGAGTTTCAGAATGTGTTTTCCTTTTGGTAATGGCCTTTGATCGCTATGTAGCTATCTGCCACCCATTAAGATACGTGTCTGTTATGAGCAATACATTGTGTTATAGCTTAACCATTGGGTCATGGATGGTGGGGTTCTTGGTATCTTTCGGACAAACCACCTTCATCTTTACATTGCCTTATTGTAATTCTAACCATTTAGACCATTTTTTCTGTGATATTCCCCCACTTCTCAGCCTGGCCTGTGCTGACACCTTCATCAATGAACTGTGTGTCTTCATAGCTTGTCTTGTGGGGGCCACAGTCCCATTCCTTTTTATTGTCTGCTCATATATCAACATTCTGTCCTCCATAATGCGCATACACTCAGCAGAGGGACGTCAGAAGGCACTGTCTACTTGTGTGTCTCACCTAACCTCTGTTATTCTTTTCTATGGGACAGCCATGTTTGTTCATCTTCGTTTACGATCCCAGAGATCTCCTTTTAATGATCGAATGATTTCACTCTTTTATTGCGTCATAATACCTCTCATTAACCCCTTGATATACAGCCTGCGGAACAAAGACATGAATAAAGCTCTGGGAAAAATATTTGTAGATTTTCCTAAACAAGTGCAATATTAAATCAATAAATGCTTTATTTTCTGATTTTACTTTCTCTGTATCGACCAACATATGTCCATGGGATCTTTTTTATTTAGAATTTATTTTAGAATTATTTCAAGAACTTCATTTGTATATATTAGATTTTAACATATTGACTTATTAAAAACAACAATTACAGTTTATCTCATAAATTGCCATCATACAAATGATCATGGAAATAAGGACACAACACAAAGAATCAGAATCTCATTAAATTACTTTAGATTACGGTTTAGATTGGTCTTATTTCTACACGGACTGGAATCGTAGCAAAGTGTGTGGATTTTAATGATGGAAAACACATTACAATTGTATATTTGGTCTTTATTTGCTGTTTGCATTTTGTAGATACACATTTTGAATATTTTGCTGCAAAAAACAAATCATTATGACACAGAATAAAGAAAGGAAAAGCAAATACAGTTTTAAACTTTAAAAAATCATTGTAAAACGTAACATCTATTTCATTTTTCACTGTGTCTTTAATGTTTCATAATCTGTATTTTGTAAAAATGTTGGTATTTACGAGAATCGCATGTTCCACGTGGTCCCCCAACCCTTGTTTATTCTTTGTAGATCTGGAATCCAGACCAGATTCCTATTACTTTGAGCACTCCACCCATCCACTGCAGGTGCCCCTTTGGAGGTGACCACAGGAAAGCATACATTGGAGCAGTTTAAGCAGTAAGTATTGCAGGTTAGCATGTTACTCACCAATGGTACAATTAGTGTAGGACCCATCGATATTGGGGTACGGTGACATGATATGGCCAAATGGTGAAAACAAATCATTTTTTACTTGTTTGCTAAGATAGGTGATTTAGTAACCTTGTAAGATTTGCCACTTGTATGTGTGCGCTGTTCCTTAATCTGTATTCTGATTTAAAAAGAAACCCTAACATAAAATAAAATTAAATAACTTGTCAGATATCGTGTGCGCTTGAAAAAAATGTCAAATTTGCACCTGGATGCAGGTAGATGTTCCTTTCATATCAACAGATATCCTGGAGCTTACAGATACATATCTAATGGACAAATTGACAGCACAATTAGCAAACACACTGCCAGTCTTACAGAAGGTTTGGCTACCATGGGAGTCTTCTCAGGGCCACTAGAGTCGACTATCGTAAACAGGATGTTGGTTACCCACCCCATGCCCACACCAAACCTCTTTCTTCTTCTTGCAAAAGGTTTAACAGAGCAGCCACTGCTGTTAAATATGGCAAAAGGCTCCTTACAACATTTAGTGGCTGCAGATGTTCTCTCCAGTTTGGAGCTGAACCCGACTTTTTCATTATTCATTTTAAAATTATGCATTGACCATTTTACTTGTCATTGTCCCCAACCATTTGGACTGTAACAGAGAGCTCCTTGTTGCGCTAGTACATTATTGCTGTGCACTGATTTAATCCTTGGATTTAGGAATATTGGAATTTTTGGAAACTAATATCTATCTATTTTTGTTCTTTAAGGAAATAAGTCTTCATTTGTAAATTAGTCTGGAATTTGTTTATACTATTTTTTTTGACTGGTGAAAAAGAAGATTTTTTTTAAAAGTCACCAGTTTAAAACACAAGTTAATTTAAAATTATAATTATCCAATTTAAACTCATTTTAAACATCCTTACATTTTAATCACCTATTAACAGTTTTTGTTTTCCTTAGTATATATTTTTTATAATTTAAAGAATTGATCAGAAATTAAAAAATATATATTATTTTAGGTTATGTTCTGTGCTTTTTTTAATGTTTAGATTAAGTTGATTATAGGAAATTCATTTTTAAGATTATTACATTAAAATATATTAAGAAGGTAGAAAACGGTAAATGTTTTATTTGCCTACAGAAGTCATTAAGTGAGCAGGAACAACCAAACGTCACCCCCGGGGAACTATTTAATTCTGCTGTGTGAAATTAGGTCTAATCCCTTCTGTGGTTGTCGTCTAATTATGACAAACTTGTCATCAGTAGCAGAGATCAATAGACTATAAAATGTATTAACCTGGATAATTCAAAGATTTATGTAAAGGAACCACAGTCACCCGGCCTTATGCATTATTAAATTATCATGTGACTAAACAAGTTGTGATAGTTTTAAATAATTTGAAATATATGAATATACATGTTCTCCAGTGACTGGTAAGTCTCTTAACTACCAAAATTAGATCAAAAACTCTTAGTAACCTCCGTTTATACTTCCACAATAATCACCAGCTATTTCAAGAATGTTCTTCAAGTCATGAGTCCATAAGATTTTTAAATGATTTCATATTTTTGGATACATTTTTACATTTATTTTTATTTCTACCTTGATTAGAAATTTGCACAAAAATAAACAACAAGCCGACACTCATAGGTATTTGGCGACATTTTCTGCATATTTATTTTTTAAAATAATTTTGACTGTACAATTGATTGTGTATGCTTATGTTTGGCTATGCATTACCAGCAAGACAAAGCTGAATTTGTGCCGGTTGCTTAAATGGCTAATGAGGAATGGACATCAATCTATAAAAAGCAGCATGTAGAAAGCTGCTGTGACAGAACTTAACCCCTTAAGGACACATGACATGTGTGACATGTCATGATTCCCTTTTATTCCAAAAGTTTGGTCCTTAAGGGGTTAATTACATCGGACCTTTAAACAATGAATCACACCTTCCATGTAGGTTGAACTCACATTAACCAGAAATCCTGACTCGGAGTTTGCAGCTGATGTAGTCTAGTCTATTAGAATTGTGCACAAATCTGTTTAAGCTTCATTGAATTAACCCAAATCCCATTAATTTCTGCCCAAATGAATTGATGTGTCCAGGATTTGGCTCTAGGCGTGGATAAACAGGAATTTGATCAGTTCGATGCAGCTGAAATGGATTTTGAAGCCCAGTGTCTATCAGTGGGATAATGAGCTTTGTCTGGTGCCAACTCTCTCTCTCTATACCTGCAAACCCAGAGATGGAATTTTGGATTTAGTTCATTTGAGTTTGAACAAGACAAGAGTTGTGATTTATTGTTTAAATCCATCACACTTGCACAATGTTTGGTTTATTTATTTTACAGATTTGCAGATATAGGAAAGTTGTTACAAGTTAGCAGCTCTACGCAAGCTTTGCTTTTGGTCCTTTTGCCTACAATAAGTATGCACAACATATTTCATTGGGGCAACTTTAGAATTTTTATTTTTTATATAAAATATGTATATTTGTTCCAACCTGAAGTCCACCAGTTTTGCTGTGAGTACATACATTCCTGCAAACTAGCAGTGTCACACAATTACAGCATTTGGACCATGAACAGTGAAAATGGGAGTCATGTCTAGGTTGGTCTTTTTTTTTTTTGTCAGGCATAAAAGATGGATGGTTAGTTTAATGATTGGATAGTTGGATAGTTGGGAGACTGGGTACTTGGATAGATGGATTGTTGGATAGTTTGATGACTGGATAGTTGGATGACTGCATAGTGGATAGATGGGTGGTTGGATAGATGGATAGTTGGATAGATGGGTGGTTGGAGAGATGGATGGTCCGATAATTGGATAGATGGATTGTTGGATAGTTTGATGACTGGATAGATGGATGGTCAGATAGATGGATGGTCGGATTGTTGGGTGACTGGATAGTTGGATGACTGGATAGTTGGATGACTGGGTAGTTGGATAGATGGATGGTTGGATAGTAGGATGAATGGATAGTTGGATAGATGGGTGGTTGGATAGTTGGATAGATGGATTGTTGAATAGTTTGATGACTGGATAGATGGATGGTCGGATAGATGGATGGTCGGATAGTTGGGTGACTGGATAGTTGGATAGATGGGTGGTTGGAGAGATGGATGTTGGATAGTAGGATGACTGGATAGTTGGATAGTTGGATAGATGGATTGTTGGATAGTTTTATGACTGGATAGATGGATGGTCGGATAGCTGGATGGTCGGATTGTTGGGTGACTGGATAGTTGGATGACTGGATAGTTGGATAGATGGGTGGTTGGATAGTTGGATGACTGTATACTTGGATGACATGATAGTTGGATAGATGGATGGTTGGATAGATGGGTGGTTGGAGAGATGGATGACTGGATAGTTGGATAGATGGATTGTTGGATAGTTGTATGAATGGATAGATGGGTGGTTGGATAGATGGGTGGTCGGATAGTTGGATAGATGGATTGTTGGATAGTTGGATAGTTGGATGGTTGGATAGTTGGATGACTGGACAGATGGATGGTTGGATAGTTGTATGAATGGATAGATGGGTGGTTGGATAGATGGATGGTCGGATAGTTGGATAGATGGATTGTTGGATAGATGGATGGTTGGATAGTTGGATGACTGGATAGATGGATGGTTGGATAGATGGATGGAAACACATTTGGAAAATGAAAGGTTTGATTATCAGTATATCAATATATATATTTTTGCTCCAGATTGTCAGAAACATGACATTGAACACATTGACATTGAACATGACTGTTCAATGTAATATTGACACACCAGGCTTTCAGAACCACACAACTCTAAGGGAAGTTCTAATCATGGGATTTGAGACCCTTCACAGCTTCAAGCTTGTTTTATTTGCTGTTTTTTTTACTACCTATATATTGACTTTATCCGGGAACCTCATCATCTGTCTTCTCATATTATTCTGTAAATGCCTTCATTCTCCAATGTACTTTTTCTTGTGCAATCTCTCTATGTCTGAAATGTTATTCACTACTAACATTGTCCCTAATTTGCTGCATACATTACTGAATGGTGGGATCACTATGTCTCTTACCGGTTGCTTCACACAATTCTACATCTTTGGGGTTCTTTCTGTTACTGAGAGTCTCCTCCTCACCATAATGTCCTATGATCGATTCCTGGCCATTTGCAAACCATTACATTACACATCGATCATGGACTCCTGGTTGTGTTTCCTCTTGACTCTCACATGTTGGGCTGTGGGTTTCGTCATCATGTCAATCACATTAGGATTTCTATGCAGATTAGATTTTTGTGGACAAAATGTTATCAATCATTTTTTTTGTGACTTTTCACCTATTTTAGACCTATCCAGCTCAGACACAACCTCCATAAAGATCATTGTATCACTGCTCTCATCTACAGCCACTCTGTTCCCATTCTTCTTCATTATTGCTACATATGGATATATTATTATGGCTATTATACAGATCCCCTCAGCCAAAGGCAAGCAGAAAGCATTCTCCACCTGCAGTTCTCATCTGAGTGTTGTCTTCACATACTATGCCACGCTGATCATGGTCTATGTTGTCCCACCTAGGGGATATTTATTGCTGGTCAATAAGGAACTTTCTTTACTTTATACAGTGGTGACCCCATTGCTAAACCCTATTATATACACCCTGAGAAATCAAGAGATTAAACTAGCTATAGGTTTATTTGCCAGGAAAATAAGCCATGTGGTTATCGGGAATCAAGGAGGATCATTGTAAACATATTGTCCTGTTCCTGCGATGGTTACAGTTAACATATTAGAAAACAGAACTAACCCTGCTACATAAAGTTGGAACATCCTCAAAATCAAGCAAATAGGGGTAGCTACTTGTACTCAGTCACAACAGTCTCAAATTGTTTTCCATATTCCCTTTTTGGGTTTCATTGGGCACTGTTGCATGGATGCATTGAATAATAAAATAAAAATAATAACAAAAAAATACAAAATATCAGGAAGTATTACTGTACTGAGAGGGTAGTGGATGCATGGAATAGCCTTCCAGCTGAAGTGGTAGAGGTTAACACAGTAAAGGAGTTTAAGCATGCATGGGATAGGCATAAGGCTATCCTAACTATAAGATAAGGCCAGCGACTAATGAAAGTATTTAGAAAATTGGGCAGACTAGATGGGCCGAATGGTTCTTATCTGCCGTCACATTCTATGTTTCTATGATTTAGGTTACCTTGCTATGTTTTTGAAGCAAAATAAATCATAAATATTTCTATAAAATCCTTGTCACTAGTACACAATTGGTTGTATGTTTACCATATCTTTTAGATTAGTCATTTTACAAAATGTTTAATGTTTAGTCTGTGGGTGCACATCCTAATGCAATATTCTGCACACACCTATGTTCCTAATATTCTATGTTAGTGTGATCTAAACATCCTGATTTACTGATATTGGTGAGTATTATTTAATGTACACTTTGCGTTTCTTGTCGGATATTATGCTACTTGGAAATAATTTAGGTAGGATTACCGTAAGAGGCAGTCAGCTCTGGTATTAGAAGTGCAGTAAAACGAAGGGAATTTATGGCCAGCTAAGGGGAGCATGATGAGATAACAATTAATAAAACATTAATTTAACCAGTTTATTCACTAAATACTAAATTGTAGGGAACCGAAAAGCAAATTGCAAAGTTTGGGCTAAAACAGCAAAGTTGCAGAGATGAAGACATTTTACTAAACACTTATTTTAAGTGTTGTTTAATTTTGGAGCGCTCAAATTTATATTACACTATAGTTGCTAGATATCATTTTAAAGTTGGTATGTTCCACGTTCAATACTTTCCACAACTACTGCTAACACACGGATGTGCTGTACCCCAAAACACAATAAAAAAATTAGAACCAAAGTGTAAATTAGTGGAATGACAGAAAAATGTCCACAGTGTAAAAAAACTGTGTTTAGGTGAGGAGACCCAAAGAGAGCTAAATTAGCTTTGATTAAAGACTACGCTGTAGTTATACTTATAGATCAGCAGATGCCACCAGCATAGAGCTCTCATCACATGTATAGGAAAAACCCATAAATACAGATGATAGTATAGAATGTTTGAATGTCTGTATTTATGGGTTTTTCCTATACATGTCATGAGAGCTCTATGCTGGTGGCATCTGCTGATCTATAAGTATAACTACAGCCTAGTCTTTAATCAAAGCTAATTTAGCTCTCTTTGGGTCTCCTCACCTAAACACAGTTTTTTAAAACTGTGGAAATTTTTTTGTCTTTTCACTGCTCCACTTATTTACACTTATTTTAACCTTATTTTTTTCTTCTGAATCAGTCTAGAATGGAGTAATATACTTCTATGGAAAAAAAATGTAATAGTATTGAATATCAGAAATAAACTTGTGACACAAAAATTACAGGGTCTGAATGTCCCTGAAATGAATGGGTCACAATTCGCTGTTATACAGGACTATTAGAACTGCAAGTCCTGGACACAGTAGATGGAATTCTACAATGTCTGGATTTTGTAAATCAAGCACCGAACGGGCCTGAATGAATTAAATCTCGGCCCCTATGCTTCAAATCCAGGCCACATTTAGGTAAAATGTAAACAGTTTTTCTGCTGGCTTGAAAACCCCTTGTTGCTGGTGAATGGTGCCCATCAGGGCAGCAAATAAGCCGCCCTATAAGACAGGACCAGCTAGTGGGCTCTCATTGACTGTTTGTACCAGGGGATGGAGTTGGCACGACTGAAGTACGGTGGCTTCCACCCCTCCAGGCTGCTGCTCCTACAGCTCCCCCCATGTGCTAGAAGCCTGCTGCCTTGGGAACACCTCGGCAGTGGCTGCTCTGTTTTGGGATCAACAATGGTGGCATGCACCACTTTAACATCAGGTGCCTGCTGCCAAATGGAGTCTCTCCACCCTAAGCTGGCCACTCTAAGCTCCTCTGTGAGATGGAAGCAGGCAGTGCTTTAAATGGACAATATGGGCACCAAACCGATTTTATCTTAATGAAGCAGTTTTGGTTTGTAGATCATTTTTAAAGCACAACATGGTTTTATTTTAAATCAGATTAACTTACTTTACAAGTTTTTACCTCTTGCTCTTTAAAGTGAACTTTAATTAAATTCAGGAGGCTCCTGTAAGGTCTAGAAGTCAATTAACCGTGCAGGAGATAAGACATTCTAAATTAAACAGTATCTTCAATACAGGAAGTGTAAACATTAGATGACCCTTTACAAGAAGTGTTTGGAATGCTGTGTAAGTCACGTGCAGGGAGGTGTGACTAGGGCTGAATAAACAAAGTGATTTAACTCCTAAATGGCAGAGAATTGAACAGTGAGACTGCAGGGACATGATATATACACTAAAACTGTATCATTAAGATGAAGTTGTTTTGGTGCTTAGAGTGAAATTTTTACATCTGGTGCCTGCCGTGAGCAGACTCTCTCCTCACTCCCAGGCTCCCTCTGGTGCTTGCCTGACTGATCAGGTACCTGCGTTAATTAGATTGTAACAGTACCCCCAGCCTGGCCGATTACAAATAATAGCCCACCGATATGGTGAACCGGACACTCTGCCCCATGTGCACAATGCTCATGGATAAGTTAAATCAGGCACTGTACAAACAGCGTGTGTCTGGCACTTTCACCCCCTGGCTCCCTCCTGAACATGAAAATAAGTCAGGCAGCCGCTGTTTGGAGAAGTACCGCTTCACTCTCATGTTACTAAGCTCACAATATGCCCCTCAGATCCTGCCTGCCCTGAGACCAGCGCCACAAAATGCTGCATAGTGACAGGTACCCCTCCACCTGCAGGCGTCTGTCATCAAAGCAGCCTGGAACCTGGTCCCTGCTTATTTTTTATGGTATCTTTTCTCATTTATTATTTACTGATTACATTTTCTCCTGAGGAGAATATAAATATTTATTTCTTTATTGTATGTTTTTCTTTAACTTTATTTTTTGCCATATATTTATTCCTTTGGTGGCATCTTGTGGCTAAACTGTGAATTACACTTAGAATTTTAAATTACCTTCCAAATTGCCTATGTAACTTATTGATCGGAATATGCAGGGATGCCATCAAGGGGGAACAGCCAACATGGGTTTATGGGGTCCAATGCCCTATATTTCATATTTATAGCTAGTATCTTACAGCAATGTACGGAAAAGCTTTGTAATATAAATGTCACTAAACAAATATACCCAGTGCAGCAACCATTTAAAATCCTGATAAAGGGTTCACTAAACAGATAAATAAAAATGGTGAGCAAAAACAGGTAAAAAATGTGATATCTACCCACTAACAGGGGAATAATACTGTTAATTCCTCCTATAACTATACTAAAGTGCCATCCCTATGTAACATTCAATATAAAAGTCAGTATTCACATAAAATTATTTATTTATGTATTACTGGTATTTATAAAGCATCAACATATTCTACTCCCTACATTGATTGTCTCTACGAGTTTTAATCAAGGCAGAGAGCTATAAATAGTGGTGGGATTCAGACGGTTCGCACTAGTTCGAGAGAACCTATTTCTAAAATTTAACAAGTTTGCCAAACAGGTCATTACAATGGCAGACTGATGTGTTGGGACCTCGGTCCACGGCCAAGGACCCGACATCAACAGGGGGCCCAGCAGCTTCCCCTGTATAAGAGGCCCCTCTACTGCTGGAGAGGTAGAGAGTCCACCAGCCTCCAGACATTGCGAGCTTCAGCCAATCAGAGCATTGCTGTCGGTTGCCATGACAATTCTCTGATACATAAAGCACCGGAGCTCACAAGATCTACAACACATCGTCTTCAGCTCTGCACCCATCGAACCACCAGGGAGACCATTGGACCACCAGGGAATGGATTACACACACAAAAAAAAAGGTATTTTAGTATGGAGAGGCTGGTCACTAAACCACAGCCTACCCACACACTACCACCTTGTGGCAAACCTAGCCACTTGGGACTGCCTAAGATAGAATGGTTGTGCCTATTTTCTGTTGTGTACTGCGCGCCGGTATAGTGTGGCGTCTCCGGCTATGTTTAATTTATGCTGTACTGTGTATGTCTGTTCGAATCCTCCCCATTCGTTAGCATTGCTATTAAAACTGACTAAGTTGTATATTTTGAAGTAGAAAGGTAACGGTTTATGTCCTCGTAGTTTTCATTACTGTATGTTACAGCAGGGGCTGTTGGGAGGAGGACCTGGAAACGGTAGTCTCCCTCCAGTCCCCTCAACCAAAACCCCTGCTGCCCATCTTTGGAAACCCCTGTTGAGTGACCTGCTTTAAATATCAGTTATTTTTAATAAAGTGACAGTTGAGTGACCTGCTTTAAATATCAGTCTTTTTGAATAAAGTGGCAGTTGACTCTCAGACTGTGTTTCGTCTGGTTCTTGGGAGGATTTGGGAATATTGCCTGCTTCCAGCTTTGTACTTGGTTATTGCATTCTACCAGCAGAGATCCTGGGATTATAAAATTGCAGCTCCGCAACAATTGGTGGCAAGCGGCGGGATCCAACCGTACAGCAGGAAAAACGCTGTTTATACAATTGGAATTGACATACTGGAAAGCAGAAGGCAATTGATACAGATGCAGAAGTGAATGGGGACGGACTACACCATATTGAAACGGCAAACGTTAAAGGAGCTGTTGGAAGCCAGGGGTAAGATAGCCAGCAATAAGCCTAAAGCAAGACTTATTGCCGAGCTAATGGAAGGAGACCGAGCTCGTAGTGCTACACCCCCAGCAAACATGGAGGAGACCCCATTTGAACGAGAAATGAGGACAAGATTGGCATTTTGGCCCGCTCCAGTATCTCCAGAAATTATGACTATAATTTCGGCGGATGCACAGGATTACGTGATGGCGCAAAGGAATCAAGCCTTCTCACCTCAAGCAGAAACCGCTGCTGTTTCAACTGTGGGCCAGGGAAGGCCAAAAATACCACATCATACATTTAAAACTTTTTGCGAGGATAAAGACGAAATAGATGGATTCTTGCAAGATTTTGAAAGATTGTGTGACTTGCATGATGTAGAGCAAGCTATGTGGGTACCTTTGTTGGCAGGCAAACTGTCTGGGCGTGCAGCAGACGCCTACCGGGCTGTACCCAGAGAGGACAGCAAGAATTATGACAAGGTAAAGCAGGCGCTATTAGAAAGGTATGCCATTACCCCAGAGGCATACCGGCGCAAGTTCCGAGAATTGAAAAAAGGGGACAAAGACTCACATGCGGAGTGGGCACACAAGCTTGACCAAGCCTCACAAGGCTGGATACAAGCCAGCAGAGCTACCACCATGGAAGAGTTACGCCAGATGTTGCTACTGGAGCAGTTTTGTAATGGCCTGGCACCAGAGGCTCGAGAATGGGTGAATGACCGAAATCCTCACACCCTAACCGAAGTGGCACGATTGGCCGACCAACATTATGATGCTAGGAGGCATCATAAAAATAATAACCGAGGGTATGCAAAACCCAACCCGCAACCGTTTCCAGTTATTGCTCCTGCCCCAGCGACAGCACCATCCAGACCAGCACTTGTGGGACAACCTCCCCACTCCTGTTATAATGGCAGGTCCAACATCCAGTGCCATGCCTGTAAGCAATGGGGGCACATGGCCCGGGAGTGCACCCAAAACCGGAGCCGCAAGAACTGGAATCAGCTCCGGCAGAATATGGCCCCGCGGGCAGCTGCTCATTATTATCATGCAGAGCCAACTTTGCCAGGAGTGCCGCTTGAGTCGGCTGATGAGCCCCTGGGCGTTTTGCACGATGTAATGTCCATCCATGCTACTGACAACCGACAACCACATTGCCAGGCCGTGACTCTGGAAGGGAAAGAGGTACAGGGGCTGCGTGATTCCGGCGCTACCTTAACTTTGGTTGCCCCGCATTTGGTGTCAGGATCAGCACATACCGGGGGATCGGTAGCAGTCCGGGTAGCAGGGGGTGCCATGTACCGGCTACCAACTGTCAAGGTACATCTGAATTGGGGTGCGGGGGAAGGAATGGTGGAGGTGGGGCTGATGCACAAGTTACCAGCTGATGTTGTTTTGGGGAATGACCTGGGGCAAATGACTTCCGCTTTTGTGCCCCAAAGTCCTCGCCATGAGGCATATCCAGTGACCACCCGTCAGCAGGCTCGCACCACGGCTTCATCTTCCACACACTCTGAGGCTCAGGTAAGAGACAATGTACCCCGTGTAACCCGTGTTTCCTGGGATACCCCGACTGACTTTGAGGCAGAGGTTAAAAACGATCCCACGTTGCAAATTTATAAGGATAAGGCGACAGCTGGTCAGACAGGTTTAGAGGGAGAACAGTATGTATGGGAGAAAAATCTGTTATATCGTGTTGCTGAGCGGGTGGTAGGGGGGTCTGTACATGTGACTAATAAGCAGCTTATAGTGCCCCAGAAATACCGGCAGGAACTGCTTAGAATTGCCCACGATATTCCGCTGTCTGGGCATTTAGGGATGACAAGAACGAGGTACAGATTGACACATGCATTTTTCTGGCCAGGTATATCTAGAGATGTGAGACAGTATTGTCAGACATGTGACATTTGTCAGAGAGTGGGAAAAAGGGGTGACCGCCACAAAGCGAAATTGTGCCCCCTTCCCATTATTGAAGAACCCTTTAGCAGAGTAGCAGTGGATATAGTAGGACCACTGTCCAAGCCTAGCCCTTCCGGCAAGCGGTATATTCTTATAAAATTGCGATTATAAAATTGCAGCTCCGCAACACACCTCCCTACTGTCACCACCACCCACACGGACACCACCTCCAGATCTGTCACTCCCCCACGTATGACAACCTTTTCTGGAGGTTTTAAAGGAATGTTATAGATATCTGAATAAATAAGGCACAGAGCGTGACACTGATCCATATTTGAATTTATAAATGCCTATTACACTATACAAACACCCCCCTTACCTCTCTCACATTCCGTTATGTATTTTACCCATGTTTCCCCCCATGCATCCCCCTACACTCATTCAAAGGTCTCTCACACATAGGGACACACTCATATTTACATACAGATTTACAGACACACACACACACACGGTACATGCAGTTACACACAGCACACGTTTTGCTCATCAAAACCTGGTGTGAGTGGGGGAGGGGTGGTATTTGAAAGAACTCCTGTCACCGTAGAGTTACAGAGCTGGAGCAGGTACACAGTCCAGGTCCTGAAATCCCACCAACGGAGGGACTGGGTTTGCTTGTGTCACATGGGAAAGGCAACACAGGAAGGAAAACAGACCCCCAGAAAGGATGATAAAATGCCACCCCCTATAAATGATGCCTGAGCCCAATGGACTAACAAGGACCCAACAGAGCTGACATTGCCTAGCAGTGACGTACTTACAGACCACTTTTTTACTTTACTTATTATCACTCATGGACTATCTCTGGCTTTTGACATTCACCAGATGCCCTAGATTAGCATTGTACCTTAAATACATTTTATCAGACAAGAGATTGTCTGCATTTGGTTCATCTTGTGACGGCTGTGTCCTGCCAAGGTTCTTTATGATTTAATATGAGGCTTGGTGTGGAACAGGTGTTCTAAGATGTTTCAAAAGATTGAGAGCAAGTATTCCATAATCAATTATTTCAAACAATGTGCTGGATAGGTTAACAAGGAACAAGGTGTAAGACCATTGTTAATAACCTGGACCTTTGTATCTAATATCCGATATGGCAAAAGCAAGTTTATCTCATGACACTGAAGTCATACTTGGGCATTGTTAGGTAGAACATTGCTAGAATTGCTAGAATACGCCATGTATCCCGTTGTTAACCGTACTAACATTCTCATCCACTGACTGTACGGACGGCCACAAATCAGCTAGACACTGACTAAAGCAAACATCTGTTTGTTCTCTCTAAATATCCCCTATCCCCGTAACATTCAGAACCTGCATCAAATCAGTTTAATGGCTTCAGGTCAGTGTCACTCACAAAGTTACACCGGTTTTAATCAAAAATTAAGAACTGTTATATGACATGACAATAGGTGCAGGAGTTTTATTAATCTCATCATGTAACAATGTCTCATTAAATAATTATTCCAGAATACAGGGGACAGCAGGGTAATGGGATTCATTGAAACAGAAAACTGTTATTTCTTTCTTCAACATTAATCAATATAAAAAAAAAACAGGTTATCTGAATATCTCGTCCTACAACCTAATAACAAACAATGAGCTAAATCCTCACCAATGGTAAGAGATTATCTTCCATTACCTTCACCTACTGATCTAATCAAATATATTGAGAACTGAGGGAAGTAGCTCCTTAAAAGTATCCTCAAAATCCAATCAGAACAAATCAATACACAGAGAGGACAGATCGATAGGTGGGGATTATAACGCACGAGAGCATGTATTTGGAGCTAATTACTAGCTCCAAAAAATGTAAGTGCTTTTCCTTTTATTTATCTCAGCAACCATCGGAAAATGCTGCACCATATTTCATTTTTTGGCCTCTCTTTTGCATTTTGAATTTTCCTGATTGGAGTTGAGGATACTGTTAAGGCACTGCTTCCCTCTGTCCCTTTTCCACACCATCCACAAATAGAAAGAAGAGACTCGGGTTTGGGTTGTTTAAGCTGCCTTCCTACACTACAAACAAACTCTACAGACCTTACTTTTTCTACTATTTATTACTGAGAACTGAAATCATGTCATTGTGTGTTTATGCTGCTGTATTATGTGTGCATGCTGTTACATTGTGTGTTTATGCTGCTGGATTGTGTGTGCATGTTGTTACATTGTGTGTTTATGCTGCTGGATTGTGTGTGCATGTTGTTACATTGTGTGTTTATGCTGCTGGATTGTGTGTGCATGTTGTTACATTGTGTGTTTATGCTGCTGGATTGTGTGTGCATGTTGTTACATTGTGTGTTTATGCTGCTGGATTGTGTGTGCATGTTGTTACATTGTGTGTTTATGCTGCTGGATTGTGTGTGCATGTTGTTACATTGTGTGTTTATGCTGCTGGATTGTGTGTGCATGTTGTTACATTGTGTGTTTATGCTGCTGGATTGTGTGTGCATGTTGTTACATTGTGTGTTTATGCTGCTGGATTGTGTGTGCATGTTGTTACATTGTGTGTTTATGCTGCTGGATTGTGTGTGCATGTTGTTACATTGTGTGTTTATGCTGCTGGATTGTGTGTGCATATTGTTACATTGTGTGTGCATGCTGTTACATTGTGTGTGCATGCTGTTACATTGTGTACTTATGCTGCTGTATTACGTGTATGCGACATGTACACTGATTTCTTGCACACATCTAGCTTCTTTATAGTATTAGGTATCAAGGTGATATGGTGCAGTATATAGGATTCATAAAATGCAGGATTCCTCATTGTCTGAATAATTGAATTCCTACCTGCAGCATTTGAAATGTACATAGTGCAGGGCAGCACTTTTCACGTGTTGCCCATCAGTATGAATATGAGTTATGTGTCAACCACGTGCATTGTGCGTTTGTTAATGAGTAATGCAGGTTTGCAACTAGTTTATTGTTCTGCTTTATTGTGTGTTTCTGTGACTGTGTCGTGTGTTTCTGTGACTCTTTTGTGTGTTTCTTTGACTGTGTTGTGTGTTTCTCTTGTTGTATTGTGTTTCTGCGGTAGTATTGTGAGCATGGCATGTTGCTGCACCGTGTGTCTTTACTAATGCTTTGTAGAATTTTGTGCCTTTAATGTGTTTTTTTCTGCTTGTGTCTCTTTGCTGTTTAAATATGATCGCATGCTGCTGTATTGTGTGTTTCTGCTCCTGTTCTATGTCCTCATGATCAGATCTTCATGATACTGACTAAGAAGCTGCTCTATGGGACTCAGTTGCTTTTCTGCCTGAATAAACAGCTGTTTTATTTTTGCCAGCTCAGATTTTATGTGTTTCCGTTGATCTATTGTGAGAATACTTGTGTATTTATCTGCTGCACTATTGTGATCTGCTGCAATAAATACATCTGCTCTATTTTCAGTTTTGTCTGCAGTATTGTGTACTTCGGTAACTGCACTGTGTGTTTCTGTTGCTCTGTTGTGAGTTTCTTCTCTCGTATTGTGTTTACCTGCTGCTATATTGTGTTTACCTGCTGATATATTGTGTGTAACTTCTGATGTATTGTGTATGCGTGTAGCTGTATTGTGCATTTTGGCTGCTGTATCATGTTTATTAAATGCATTTTTTCCTTGAGGGTTATCATAGGTACTTCTTGTTGTATTGTATGTTTCTCCTGCTGTATCCTCTGTTTGTGCTGCTGCTTTCTGTGCTTGCGCTGCTGTATTCTGTACCTGTGTGGTTGTATCCTGTATTTGTGCAGTTGTATCCTGTATTTGTGCGGTTGTATCCTGTGTTTGTGCGGTTGTATCCTGTGCCTGTGCGGTTGTATCCTGTGTTTGTGCAGTTGTATCCTTTGCCTGTGCGGTTGTATCCTGTGTTTGTGCGGTTGTATCCTGTGTTTGTGCAGTTGTATCCTGTGCCTGTGCGGTTGTATCCTGTGTTTGTGCAGTTGTATCCTGTGCCTGTGTGGTTGTATCCTGTGTTTGTGCGGTTGTATCCTGTGTTTGTGCGGTTGTATCCTGTGTTTGTGCGGTTGTATCCTGTGTTTGTGCGGTTGTATCCTGTGTTTGTGCGGTTGTATCCTGTGTTTGTGCGGTTGTATCCTGTGTTTGTATCCTGTGCGGTTGTATCCTGTGTTTGTGCAGTTGTATCCTGTGCCTGTGCGGTTGTATCCTGTGTTTGTGCAGTTGTATCCTGTGCTTGTGCAGTTGTATCCTGTGTTTGTGCGGTTGTATCCTGTGTTTGTGCGGTTGTATCCTGTATTTGTGCGGTTGTATCCTGTGTTTGTGCGGTTGTATCCTGTGTTTGTGCGGTTGTATCCTGTGCCTGTGTGGTTGTATCCTGTACTTGTGCTGCTGTATCCTGTGTCAGTGTGGTTGTATCCTGTGTTTGTGTCACTGTATCCGGTGCTTGTGCTGCTGTATCCTCTATTTGTGCGGTTGTATTCTGTGCTTGTGCCGTTGTATCCTGTATTTGTGTGGTTGTATCCTGTGTTTGTGCGGTTGTATCCTGTGCCTGTGTGGTTGTATCCTGTGTTTGTGCGGTTGTATCCTGTGCCTGTGCGGTTGTATCCTGTGCCTGTGTGGTTGTATCCTGTGTTTGTGCGGTTGTATCCTGTGCCTGTGCGGTTGTATCCTGTGTTTGTGCGGTTGTATCCTGTATTTGTGCGGTTGTATCCTGTGTTTGTGCGGTTGTATCCTGTGTTTGTGCGGTTGTATCCTGTATTTGTGCAGTTGTATCCTGTGCCTGTGTGGTTGTATCCTGTGTTTGTGCGGTTGTATCCTGTGCCTGTGTGGTTGTATCCTGTGTTTGTGCGGTTGTATCCTGTGTTTGTGCGGTTGTATCCTGTGTTTGTGCGGTTGTATCCTGTGTTTGTGCGGTTGTATCCTGTGTTTGTGCGGTTGTATCCTGTGTTTGTGCGGTTGTATCCTGTGCCTGTGCGGTTGTATCCTGTGTTTGTGAAGTTGTATCCTGTGTCTGTGCGGTTGTATCCTGTGTCTGTGCGGTTGTAACCTGTGTTTGTGGTGTTCTTTCATGCGTTCCTGCTTGTATACTATAACCGTCAATAAGTGACAGTGTATGAGACTGATCTGCACTTGCCTTCTCTTGCAATGACTGCTCCTCCTTATTTGTTGCTTTATCGTTAAATTGTAGCGGTAGTAGAACAGATTCCAGGTATATTTTTACATTTGATAATATATTAATAAATGCTTGGCCTTCTTTGCTGAGGATTGTGAGACTATCTAAAATGGATTTATAAATATCTCCATATTCTAGTAACCTCTCATTCTGCGCGTCTATTAATCTTCTCTTGGAATCCGGTTCCTCCGATTCTCTTTTTTCTTCCAGAGATTTGTGGAATTGTCCTGACACATTCTTCTCACCGAGCTGATCTGTGCTGTCATAGTAACTAGATTTATTTTGCCGTGTCCTTTCTGTGGATGAAATGGATGGATGTGAGTGGAAGAACCAAATACTGCTAGTGTTAAGCTACAAAGCTCAGCAGAAAGAAATAACGTGGTTTTACCTAAAAATTAACACCACAGACCACAGATTTTATACACATGCTGCTGGCTTTTGGAGCCGTAATACTTACTCCACACAACAAGCTCTGAGCTATACTAGAAGTAATTTCAATCACAGTATGGAGAATAACCACCTGTCTTTGACCAATTTCATATAATTGTCATTTGTTACGTTCATGTTAGACTCGCATATTCATATCTGGCCAAATTAAAATGTAGCCATTTTTCCATCTCTTTTTGCATTTGTTTAAATCTTAATGAACAATTGCAAGATCACATAATGAACGAAAAGAATATTACATGATGAACAAAATTCAATGTGGTTTTAATACATTTACAAATAGAGTAGTATCTTCACCTATTGAGCATCGGAGATCATAATGGGGGAGGTGGGAATTAGTGTGTGTGTATATATAGCATGTGCCATTTGATCTCCTTTATGACCCTCAGTAATTTGCCCTGGGTGAGGGCTTAAAACCATATTATGCAATTTGTGTTTAATAATTTGGTAATTTAATTAAATTTACTACCCATTAACATTATTTTCTCTTAATCCAAGATGAAGGGAAGCAGCTCCAATCTGATTTGTGGGGCAATGTACACATCATAGGCATATGGGGACTTGCAAATTAATCTCCCTAATGACCCTCACTCATGTGCATTTGGGGGCATCAAAAATTAGAGAAGGTAGGCATTGGTCCCATAAATATCTATACATACTTCTCTTTTTTACAGTTTCCATTATACTCTGCATAATCTCAGATAAATTGGTCTTCTTCTGATCGAAGAGAAATAGATCTTTGGCCAATTTCTCAATGCTGGGCTGGTACTTTAAGATCTTGTCCTTCTCTGCAGAGCTGGTGGTCTTCATGTCATCGATCACCACAATGACATTATCTCTGCCTGTAGGACAATGCAGAGGAACAAGGTCAATATAGATGTAAAATAATAGAAAGGAAAGAGAATCCGTCCCTTGAATAAAAATCTAGAAGATACTTTATTTGTCTAATGCAAAAGACATTCCTAAAATAGACTACCTCTCACACTCTAATATGGTATTAATGGGTGTCCGAACCGGACAGACCAAAAAACCAACATTAGGTGCTGAGGGCGTTTAAATAGGGGGAGAAAAGAAGGGGGATAAGGGAAAACAAAACAAGAAGTATGTGCAAATTTGTAAATCTTGATGCACAATAGTAGTGGTTGAGTCTGGAGTGAAGAAAGTAACCTCCAGAACCCTACTTAATGAACAAACTAGTTACAACAGTATAAGTATGATGGTCTAAAAGATATCCAATCCTAATCACAATAAGTGATAATGTCAGTCTGTTAGCCTGTTATAGATGTAAAATGCTTCAATATTATGAAATCCATTAGATTTTTTTTGTCATTCATTGTGACAAGATTCATACTTGCAGTTATTTCTGGAACAATTGGCAGACTGATTAGTTTTGCAAAGATTTAGATGGACAAAACTTCTAAAAGCTAACAAAGAATATTCTGCAAACCTGTTTTCATTCACTAAAATTATCAAGACATAATAAAAGTGTAACGGCACCCCCAGGCATAAAAGGGTTAAACCGCTATTTAGATGATATTCCCCTCCCAGAGACACAGGCACAGCTACTGCAGAACACCAATCCGCCGAACAGGAAACCACATGAATGCCGTAAACAGCCAAATAGGAAAAACCATACGAATAGGTTTACACTCCTAGCAGTCGAACTGGAACAGCATACAATAAATCCCCCAAAGAAAGAGACAAAGCTCCGTGTTGAGGGTCAATCAGTGAACAGTCAGAGCTGTGGGTTTAGTGTTCTTATATACACATTAGCACCACCCACAGGGTTTTGGAACACAACCAATAAACACATACAATACACTCAGACACTCCCACACAAAATCCTCCCCTCTGCCTGTGATACAATTACCTTACACAATGGGTAATGTAATTTAGCACAAGCAGAAAAATACAATTTTTCCACATTATTCATAACTTGAAAAGTATGCATCACATTCACATAAAACTTACATTTTCAGAATCAGCATACTCCAAATACAAACATACGTCAAAATCATACAAATTGGTCCAGTGGTTCAAAAGATAGATCGTAGTCCTTTGTGACCACAGGAAGCATGGATTTTCTGCCCAAAACCAGTTCCACAGAGTCTTCTATCCTGGAGATAATTGTGAAGTAATCCAATTATCTCCAAAGACAGAAGCAAAACTCCATTGAACACATGGCAGCAAAAGACAATAAAACACATAAAAACATATAACTGTGCAGCCATTGCACAAAACAGGTACATTCAACATATCCCCAGATAGCTCAGATCTGAGCGCACATTATTACTGAATGGCGCTCAGAGCACACACATACAGTTCAATTGCCATGGAGCCAAAGTCTTTCCCATAGTCTTTCATTATACGAATGGACTCCATGGCATAGCTATCTGGGGTATCACCGCTCAAACAGGGCAAGCACCAAATGACCCGGCTTTCATGTCTTTGCAGGGAAAAATCAAGCCTTTTAACATGGGGCCATAATCCAAAGGCAACGGGCGAGCAACCAGGCTTCTCCAATGCAATGTGGGGAGATTGGGCTCGTCACAAAAAGGTTTTATATTTTTAATTTCTAATAAATTATTTTCTTTTTTTAGAAATTAATTTGTGAGATTAATCATTGAGATTGTTTTTTCCCCAGGAAGAGATTAACAGACACATTCACACACACACACACACACACACACACACAAACACACTCTTTACTGAACAATTCACATTATGTACAGGAGACATTAAATGGATAAATGGTTTTATTGTTACTCACCATGACGCTGAGATAGATCCTGTAGCTCCTGGTCATACATGGAGTCTGTGACATCAGTTAAATTAATGCGTCCCCATCTACACGAATGATATAAAATGGAAAATGTGCACTTTGTGATCTCTCCAGAAAACTCAGAATACTTATTTGAAATATAGACAGCACGGACATCATCCACCATATTGCCAAACTCTCGTCCTTTCAACTTGTCCCTCAGCCACTGATAATGAGTCTCTGGACACCTTGAGAAGATACTGATAATGTGCTTCGATGAAGGAGGGATTGATGACCAAGAGGTGTCTCTCTAAAAAAGAAAATGGACAGTCAGGATTCGTTATTTACAAGTAGATTATATCCTTATACACAGCGTGCGTACTGAAAAATATTAAAATATCAGAAAAATTTAATTTAAAAAAAGCTAATCTGACAATCTAACCATTTGTCAAAATGCAACATTCGTGGGAATCCCAAAAAATTACAGTTTCATTTATTTAGGGACTAATCAAATTCAATAAATGTAAAACAATTGTTATAATGCACCCGCAAGCCTAACTTACCATCTCTCATTTATTAATAATGTGTCTCTCTATCTTAAAAGGAAACCTCGTTTTGATATACCAGATATCGGATTGGGACTAATTTGACCTTCAGCAACGATGGACAGTTCTAACAGTTATTAATTGTATTTTTCACTATTTTGTTCTCCATTCATTTTTAGTTGGCATACTATGTGTAGAGACACTCATGGTTTCAGTTCAGACATTCAATGCACACACCTGCTCATCTCCTTTTTTAAGGAGTGAACAAATGTTCACCATAAAGTATCCATAAAAAGTGTAACCAATAATTTATGTTGTTTTTATTACAAGTCTTTTTGAACACTCTTTGATTTTGACGTACCAATTTGGTGGGTTTGGATTGTAATAGACTTGACTGATTTCCACCGTTTGGGCCATGCGATGTCTCTAGAACTGTAAAAATAAAATAAAAAAATTAACAGATATTAAAAAAATAAAATAAAAAAACCCAACGTAATCTCAGTGAGGGGTCTAGAGGTTTTGGGCACTGTCTTTCCTCGTGAAGGCAAATTATTTTCAGATGGTTTAATCTCCAAATTATCTTTAAGGTGTCATCTGCTTGGACGCTTTGCCACCTCCTCCACCCCCAGCACGACTATCAAGGCTTTTCACTTGGGTGTCAGTGATAAGCTGAGAGCGTCACCTGAGACCCTCAGCCTATCACTTGCTGCCCATTGCGATTAAAGCTTTGGAAAGGTATGTACATTGCCAGTGGGCAAATAGTTCACATTTTTATGATCCACTTGCCAAAAAACAAGAGAATTACAATTACTGTATTGCTATTGTACTGCGTGTATTGGGCCCTGAAATTCTTTAAAGTCGGTACTTTGTAGATATCTGGATCCTACACTTTATCAACTATGACATTTAATATAGAGTAAATATGAGACTTTTGAAACTGTGGCAAACCTAGCCACTTGGACAATATAAAGAGACTGTACCTTTAAGGGTTGCCTGTATGGTTGTGGGGTATGTGTGTGACTAAGTATAATGTATGCTGGCTGTAATACCTTGTATTTCCTCTATTGGCTATCTGCCGAATGCAGATAGCTGTATTTCATTTCATTTCACGAACGGCACCTTTGCGGGCCGTTCGTGAACCGAAATAACCACCATGTAGTAGCCCACACACTTAGAGACGTGTAGCGCTTGTTAACCGATTGCAACAATGTTGCAATCGGTAATTAGAGGCTCTCCTAGGTGGCCGCCGTTTGACTACCGACCAGGCGACGGTCGGCCATCTTGGATCCTTTGTTCCCTCAGCAGTGTTTAAAAACGGCTACTCGACGGCACGAACACCGCTGAGCTTCCAGGCCGTTCGGTATATTATTCCCTATACTTCAATCGGTCTTTTGAATGTGTGTTTTAATAAATGTGTTTTTCGTGCGGTGTTCGGTTATTTTAGCTGGGATCTGAGTGGTAATCTCACGAATGATGCGCTCAGACCCCAGCTATCTACCGAATGTCCATTCGTGCAAATAGACCAAATAGTCGAAAAACTGTACATTTTAAAGTAAATTGCCGGTTCTGCTACATGGAGGGATAATCCACTTAACGGTACATTCCAGTGGGAGGATCCCTCTCGTGCAGCAGTGCCTGATGGGAGAAATGCTCTGTAATTTAAGTTTCCCATGTAGTCCACTCCTGTAATGCCCCTGGGGTAGGACTCAGGAAACCCTTTGCATGGGGAATTGTATAAATTGTGGAGCCTGTGAATAAAGCCCTCAGTTGACTCTCAGAACTGTGTTTCGTCCGGTTACTGGGAGATTTGGGATATTGCCTTGCTTTTCAGCGCTTGACTGTGGATTACGTTCTGAACCAGAGGAATTCGTGGTTTTAATACTGCCGATCCGCTACAGAAACCATTTGGAATCTGGTGATTTTCACCGAGTTATGTCCATCTGGACATTATTTACTAAAGTCAGAATTCAAAGTCGATTCAAAGCGAATTACAAATTTAAGGTCAGAATGGCTGAAATGCTAAAATTCTTCAAGGTCCTGTGCTTCGGTTCGGCCTTGAATTTGAAAATCACTTTGATTCACTGTGAATTCTCAGTTTAGTAAATAACATAGTCAGTGTCTAGTAAATAAAAGATATAAGAAACCGATAGCACACCGATTTATGCCAAAAGAGAAGATATTATTTGATATATTTAATATACCAGTTACTTAATAAACAATATAAAGTGCATAACAGACAAAGGTATACACCATCTACAAAGACCAATAGCGTGCACACTGATTACCCATTAGATATGCGACCCAGGGCCAGAGACCATAATTCCCCAACGTTTGGGCTGTTGCCTTTTTCCTGGTCAGTAACCTATGGTCTCAGGTATCTGATATACCTGAATAGAATTAAAGTGCCCACCCACTAAAACCAATTAGGGACTAATGGAAGTAGGAATGCACCTTCAGAAATGCCGACTTGTCTTCTTCTCTTGTCCAGAATCCTCTCTCTTCCATCATCAGGCTGATTCATGTCGTCCAGTACAGCAATAATCCTCTCGTGGTCTCTAAACCAAAAAAATAATCAAATTAATGCCTAGTAGTGATGTCCCGAACGGTTCGCTGGCGAATAGTTCCTGGCGAACATAGCGTGTTCGCGTTCGCCACCGATGGCGAGCATATGCGACGTTCGGTCCGCCCCCGATTAATTTACTAATACTAAGTAAAAATTACTTAGTATTAGTAAATTGTGCCCCTACTCGCAATACCGCGAGTTAAGAAAAAAAGGTTCCCCCCCGGTGGGGGTCCTAAATACTAATAGGGGGGGGACCTATTGTCCTTCCCCCGGCCCCCACCCCTGAGCGGTGGGTGGGGGCCCTAAAAATACCAATAAGGGGGGGACCTATTGTCCCCCCCCCCGGCCCCCACCCCTGAGCGGTGGGTGGGGGCCCTAAAATGAACAATAAGGGGGAGACCTAATGCCCCCCCCGGCCCCCACCCCTGCGCGGCGGGTGGGGGCCATATTGATAATGAGGGGGGGACCTACTGCCCCCCCTGGCCCCCACCCCTGCGCAGCGGGTGGTGGCCATATTGATAATGAGGGGGGACCTACTGCCCCCCCGGCCCCCACCCCTGCGCGGCGGGTGGGGGCCAAATTGATAATGAGGGGTGGGACCTACTGCCCCCCCCCCGGCCCCCACCCCTGGGCGGCGGGTGGGGCCATAAAGATAATGAGGGGGGGACCTATTGTCATCCCCCCCCAGCCCCCACCCCTTGGAGACGGGTGGGGGCCACAAAGATAATGAGGGGGGGGCCTACTGTCCTCCCCCCTGGCCCCCACCCCTGGGCTGCGGGTGGGGGCCCTAAGTAAATTCCCCCCCCACCCCCCAAGGTGACTAGGGGTCCCCAAGCCCCTAGTCACCCCCCCAAATAAAAAGTCCCTATTTTTTAGGGTGAGGGGGGGTAGGTAGAGACTTTTTATTTGGGTGGGTGACTAGGGGCTTGGGGACCCCTAGTCACCTGGGGGGGGAATTTACTTAGGGCCCCCACCCGCCGCCCAGGGGTGGGGGCCAGGGGGGATGACAGTAGCTCCCCCCCTCATTATCAATAAGGCCCCCACCCGCCGCGCAGGAGTGGAGGCCGGGGGGGGCAGTAGGTCCCCCCCCCTCATTATCAATATGGCCCCCACCTGCCGGGCAGGGGTGGGAGTCGGGGGGGTCAGTAGGTCCCCCCCTCATTATCAATATGGCCCCCACCCGCCGCGCAGGGGTGGGGGCGGGGGGGACAATAGGTCCCCCCTTATTGTTATTAGGGCCCCCACCCACTGCTCAGGGCCATGGGGGGGGACAATAGGTCCCCCCCCTTATTGTTATTAGGGCCCCCACCCACCGCTCAGGGGTGGGAGCCGGGGGGGGACAATAGGTCCCCCCTTATTGTTATTAAGGCCGCGGGGGGGGGACAATAGGTCCCCCCCTTATTGTTATTAGGGCCCCCACACACCACTCAGGGAGGGGGCTGGGGGTGGGGACAGTAGGTCCCCCCCTCATTAGTCTTTATGGCCCCCACCCACAGCGCAGGGGTGGGGGCCAGGGGGGTGCAGTAGGTCCCCCCCCATTATCAATATGGCCCCCACCTGCCGGACAGGGGTGGGGGTCGGAGGGGTCAGTAGGTGCCCCCCTCATTATCAATATGGCCCCCACCCGCCGCGCAGGGGTGGGGGCGGGGGGGACAATAGGTCCCCCCTTATTTTTCATTTTAGGGCCCCCACCCACCGCTCGGGGTGGGGGCCGGGGGGGACAATAGGATCCCCCTTATTTTTCATTTTAGGGCCCCCACCCACCGCTCGGGTGGGGGCTGGGGGGGACAATAGGATCCCCCTTATTTTTCATTTTAGGGCCCCCACCCACCATTCAGGGGTGGGGGCCGGGGGGGACAATAGGTCCCCCCCCTTATTGTTATTAGGGCCCCCACCCACCGCTCAGGGGTGGGGGCCGGGGGAGGGACAATAGGTCCCCCCCTTATTGTTATTAGGGCCATGGGGGGGACAATAGGTTCCCCCTTATTGTTATTAGGGCCCCCACCCACCGCTCAGGGGTGGGGGCCGGGGGGGGACAATAGGTCCCCCCCTTATTGTTATTACGGCCCCCACCCACCGCTCAGGGGTGGGGGCCAGGGGGGGGACAGTAGGTCCCCCCTCATTATCTTTATGGCCTCCACCCGCCGCCGCCCCCCCTTCAACCAGTAAGAGTCCCTGTGGGTTTTAAAATTCGCCTGCCCATTGAAGTCTATGGTGGTTCGCCGGGTTCGTCAGGTTCGCGAACATTTGCGGAAGTTCGCGTTCGCGAACCGAAAAATTCACGTTCGCGACATCACTAATGCCTAGTTCAGATCTGGGATTTGGAAGAATGAATCATATAGGGCACATTGCTAACTGTGGAGCAGTTACCATGGAAACCAATGGCATATTTTATTTATAGGACTCTGATATAGCAGTGCATTCCATAAACACTGTGCATTGTCCCCAATATTAAATAATTACCTGTATAATAACACCAAGAAAGAGAAAAATGGAATGTCGATCATCAGATTATTCAGTAAGTACATAACGATTATTAGGAGGAGATGGGATTGTGTCTTACACATTCCTGATTTAATATCGGTTTGATTTAATAAGCTCTCAAAATGATCCAGTAATGTTAGAAACAAGCTTGGGGCGCCATCTTTGGGACTGTTTTACAGGTGTTTGTAAATGCAGCTGTGGGTCAACAAAGTGGGGGGAGGGAGGGAAGAGGCTCTGTAGAATGTAGTTAATTGAAATATATTGCTTGTCTGTGCCTCTCCCCCTCCACCTTCCTTTTCCTGTCACAGCATGGCGTTTAAACTGGCTGCTTTGCCCCTCTTCCATACCCCCATAAGCATCTTGGGATTGAAACCCCTCTTGTTTTGTGTTGGAGTCCCCGCGTAGGGGTCTGTGCATCAGTTGTGTGACAAAATAAACAGAGTTCAGTTTGTGTTGTACTCCCAGAGCTGTGTGTCGTCCAGTGATTGGGGGGAAATAGATACCTGCTTGTTGTAAGAGTTCCTAGCGGCTAAAGGAAGGTATTAGCAAAGGTAGCCAGTCAGGTTACCCGTGATCCGTTTCTTTACCTGGGTAAGAGTTAGTGCTAGTAGTTTGTTACCTGGTTAATAGTTATATCAGTTTACTTACTTGGTTAGTAGTTATTGCGATCAGTGGACCATGAATCTGCAGTGTATCCTGTAGTTTTATTCTGCTGATTCACAGCGTTTCCCCTAAAACTAGGAGAAGTGAGCGATTAATAGGATGTTCTGAATAAAAAACTGAAAACAAACAGAAAGTTACTTCTAGAATGTAGGACTGGGAACATAATCACGGAATTTATGTTACAATAAATAATGTATAGAAAGCATACACTACATCTTAATCCAGCAATTAATTAATTAAGTGGAAAAAAAATTGAAAATAAAAAAAATCCACAAACATTCTCACATTGTCTAATTAGTCAGAAGATGCAAAATCTCTCTGGGTTTAATCTTATTATCTCTCTCCCTGTTCGTATCTCTCTCTGTATCACTCACTCTGTCTGTGTTTCTGATTCCCTTCTGTGTCTTTGCTTCTGCCTTTTTCCCTCTTAACTTGCTTCTCTCTCTCTGTCTCTCAGTGTCTGTAACGCTCTCTGGCTGTATCTGTCTCTCTGTGTCTGTAACGCTATCTGGCTTTATCCGTCTCTGTCTCTCTGTGTCTGTAACGCTATCTGGCTGTATCCGTCTCTGTCTCTCTGTGTCTGTAACGCTCTCTGGCTGTATCCGTGTCTCTGTCTCTCAGTGTCTGTAACGCTCTCTGGCTGTATCTGTCTCTCTGTGTCTGTAACGCTATGTAACGGACCGTTTTGCACAAAAGGGGTAAAAAATGTTTAGGCGATCGGCCCCCTTTCCAGAGATGCAGGCACAGCTACTGCAGAACACCAAATACACAAACCGCCAATAAGTGAATGCTCCAAACTCCCGAACGGCATCCAATATAGCACTCCAACCAGATGAACAGGAACCATACGAATTGCTGCTACCAGACGAATAGGAAAAGCATCCAAGCGGCTTACACTCCTAGCAATCAGTCTCTATCAGCATTCAGTAAATCCCCCCAAAGACGAGACAAGGCTCCGTGTTGAGGGTCAAGCAGTGGTCTGTTTTAATGAGGGCTACCTGCCCAGTATTTATGCAGGTCTCCCACCTGGTGGACACTCCCCTAGGGGACCAAATGGGAGACTGTGACAAAGGACAGACAAGTAGACAAATAGGACACACAGTCACAATATATTCCCACAATGCATCCTGGCTTCCTCCCCTCTGCCTTGGGAGATAATTGAGAAGTAATTCAATTATCTCCCAGGACAAAGGCAAATCGCCATTATGCACGTGGGGATACTAAAACAAGCATTACTGTTAAAATACACCATGTAAGACACATTACATTAAAACTATACATTTAACATATCCCCAGATAGCTCAGGTCTGAGCGCACATTATTAAGTGAACGGCGCTCAGACCACACGAATACAGTTTAATCGCCATGGAGCCAAAGTCTTTACAGTCAGTTTCATACGAATGGGCTCCATGGGATTCCTATCTGGGGTATAACACATTCAACAAAACTACCGAACACCGGGCCGTTCGTGCACTTCCACCGAACAAGAAGGGAGGTCGGCGGCTTCAGCGGTGTTCGCGCAAAACTGTGTCCGATTTTAGTTCCATGAATTAAGTGTCGAACACCGCTGTGCATTCGTATGTTTAAAATGGCCACGACCTCGTGTTCGGGATACGAATGGCGGCCACCCAGCATTCGTCAATTAAGCTGCGGTTAACCGCAGCTTCAGGGAGGTTAATTGCCGGCACACTCCAGCTCCCAGGTGGTCTATTCATTCGTGCGGTTGTTCGGTAGATTGAATCTACCGAACAACCGGCAGAAAATCACGAATACAGCTTTTCTGCAGGCGAAACAAAGTCTTTTAACATGGGGGCCATAGTCCAAAGGCAGCAGGCGAGCAACCAGGCTTCTCCAATGCAATGTGGCGAGATTGGTCTCGTCACACGCTATCTGGCTGTATTCGTCTCTGTCTCTCAGTGTCTGTAACTCTCTCGGGCTGTATCTGTCTCTCTGTGTCTGTAATGCTCTCTGGCTGTATCCGTATCTCTGTCTCTCTGTGTCTGTAACGTTCTCTGGCTGTATCCGTCTCTCCGTCTCTCAGTGTCTGTAACGCTCTATGCCTGTATCCGTGTCTCTCTCAGTGTCTGTATCCGTCTCTCTGTCTCTCAGTGTCTGTAATGCTCTCTGGCTGTATCCGTCTCTCTGTCTCTCAGTGTCTGTAATGCTCTCTGGCTGTATCCGTGTCTCTGTCTCTCAGTGTCTGTAACGCTCTCTGGCTGTATCCGTCTCTCTCTCTCTCAGTGTCTGTTATGCTCTGTGCCTGTATCCGTGTCTCTCTCAGTGTCTGTATCCGTATCTCTGTCTCTCAGTGTCTGTAATGCTCTCTGGCTGTATCCGTGTCTCTGTCTCTCAGTGTCTGTAAAACTCTATGCCTGCATCGTGTCTCTCTCAGTGTCTGTATCTGTCTCTCTGTCTCTCAGCGTCTGTAATGCTCTCTGGCTGTATCCGTCTCTCTGTCTCTCAGTGTCTGTAACCCTCTTTGTCTGTATCCATGTCTCTGTCTCCCTGTGTCTGTAAAGCTCTACGTCTGTATCCGTGTCTCTCTCAGTGTCTGTATCCGTCTCTCTGTCTCTAGTGTCACTCTACCAGCATCTCACTATAGTAAAAAGAGAGAGAGACAGTAACACATTGTGACAGCTTCATCTGTATGGCTGGTTCGTCTGTTTCCCTTTGTTTCGCTGGATTTCCTGTTCGTATACCCCTGTTCGTGTAATTACAAACTACCGATTGAAACTACCAAACGAACGACCACCCAGGAGAGGAGTGTGCTGCTGGTTAACCTCTTGGCCCCAATTAGAACGTTGTGGTTAACCGCAGACACCTCTCCATTCCATTCGTACGGGTGGTCGTCGTTCGCATGTCGACCACGAGGCAGCGGCCATTTTGGAACACGAGAAAGCGAAGCGGTGTTCGGTACAAATTGTATGGAACTAAAAACGGGCACTTTAATCTACCGAATACCGCTGGAAGCTGATGCCCACCTTCTATTTCTATGAGGCATGCGAACGCCGGTCTGTTCGGGAGTTTTATGCATTCGTATGGACTTTTACCCAGATGGCCGTCCCATGGAGTCATTCGTATACCGAAGGACTGGTGAAAGACTTTGACTCCATGGCGATTCGACTAGATACATCGGATCTGAGCACTATTCAGTGAAAATATGCACTCAGATCCAGGCTGTCTGGGGATACGTTATACAAACTATATCCATTCGGTATTTTCCCAGTTATGTATTTTAATGTATTTTTGTTACTGTATTTTAAAATGGCGATTGTCTCTACCCTGGGAGATAATTAGGTTTCTTCCTAATTATCTCCGGGGTAGAGAAGACGGATTTATGGGTAAGATGAGAAGGGCTTATATTGAAGCCACTGCGATTGGCTACTGTACAATATATTTTACAGTTTTCCACAAGGTCCCCTCGGGGAGTGTCCACCTTGTGGAGACCTGCATAAATACCGGGCAGGTAGCCCCCATTAAACAGATTCTGATTTGACCCTCAAGACGGAGCTTGGTCTCGTTTGTGGGGGAATTACTACTGGGACAGCGCTTTCGTTATTTTTAGCTTTGGAAGGTGTTCGACTGTTTTGCTGATCGGGAATTGCTGTGTTCGTGAACTTCGTTCGGGAGTTTGGCGGTCGGCTGGATATAAACTGCATTTCTGGAGAAGGGGATTATTCACTAAACGGCGGCTTCATCTACCTGGCGGTGAGTGTCTTAACAATTGGTGGCAAGCGACGGGATGAATCCTACCGCCCAGAAGGCCAGCTACACATCCCAGGTTGGAAATGCAGTATGAAGAGTTAAGGCGTGCTACCCTTAAAGATATATTAGAACGCAGAGGACGATCAGCGAGTAATCTCAAGAAAAGGGAGATTATTGCCATATTATTGGAAATGGATGCAACACAGGGAACGGGAAGAGCTGATGTGCCTGGCATACTGGAGTTAACACCCGAGGAGATACAATTTAACCGGGCAGTCCAGATCAGGCTGGCACATTTTGGCCCCAACCCCGCAGCAGATATTGTGGTTCAAGTGCAGGCAGCAGTAGCAGCACAACAGGCGCTTCAGGGAAGAGGAGCTGCAGCAGCTGAGGTACCCTATAATAATAATGGAAGGAGGAAAGTACCCTTTGCTGCATTTAGAAATTTTGTAGAAGCCGAAGGAGAGATTGATGGGTTCCTGGCTGATTTTGAAAGGCAATGTGCCTTACACCAGGTACCCGCAGAGGAATGGGTCACCATCCTCTCTGGGAAGTTATCCGGCCGGGCCAGTGAGGCGTTTCAGGCCATCCCAGAGGAGGAAATCACCAGCTACAGGGCAGTGAAAGATGCCCTTTTGGCCAGGTACGCTGTAACCCCTGAGGCGTACCGGCGGCGATTCCGGGACACTAATAAACAAGCTGGCGATTCTTATGTGGAGTGGGCATGCCGAGTACACCGCACCGCAGCCCACTGGATGGCAGGGTGCCAAGCAGTAACTGGGGAAGAAGTGCTGCAAGTATTTTTGTTGGAGCACTGTTTTGATCGCCTACCTGCCGGAGTCAGGGAGTGGGTCAGGGACCGCAAACCCGCTACCTTACCCGAAGCTGCTCGTCTGGCTGATGAGTACACTGATGCCAGGAAACTGGACCAGACGGCAGCCAAGGTCCCTACCCGAGTGGAGTACAAACCAGCAGCCCCTCCAACCACTGCAGTGTATCAACACCCAACGCAACGCACCCCCACAATGCCAACAGCGAACAATTATATTCAGCCAGCCCGGTTCAACGCACGGGATTACTCACAGCCTATCCGATGCTATGGGTGTAAGCAGTTGGGGCACAAGAGACCGTAGTGTCCATTGAATAATTCCAGCCAAGCCCAGTTGTGGAGAAGACCAGCCGGCGGAAATCAGCAGCCACCCCAACCTTCCGCTCACTGTCTTGAGCAGGAGGAATTTTGGGGTATACTACACGAGGCGGATCCAGTACAAGCAGTGCAGCAGGATAACCGTCAACAACACAGGCAGACCGTTAAACTAAATGGCAAAGCAGTAACTGGTCTGAGAGACACCGGAGCCACTATGACTTTGCTCCAAAAGAACCTTGTTTCGGAACACCAGCACACTGGGAATACTGTGGCAGTGAGGGTAGCGGGAGGTGCAGTGTTCCGTTTACCGGTTGCCCGGGTTCATTTGGATTGGGGGGTGGGCTCTGGACACGTGAATGTGGGGGTCATGAAAGACTTACCTGCTGATGTTTTGCTTGGGAATGACTTGGCCCCTTTGGTGTCCGCTTATGCTCCAATGGGACCTGCTGATATCAACCCAGTGACTACCCGTGCCCAGACCCGTGCTGCTGGAACCAGCCCACCTGCTGCTGAGACCCAGGTAAGACCCGATTCCCCGACTGGTACCTAGGAACAGACCTTTGTTAGCTGGGATTCCACAGAGGAGTTTGGGAGGGAAACCCAGACAGATTTGACGCTCCAGAAGTATAGGGACAGAGCGGATACTGGAGAGGAAGGAGTAGATGGGGAACGGTATGAGTGGGTGGGGGACAGGTTGTATAGGATCCCCAAGCTTTCCCCGAAAAGTGTTGCCCTCCGCCGAATCGACAGCTGGTGGTACCCGCAAAATACCGGCAGGAGATTCTGCGGATAGGGCATGATGTTCCACTAGCTGGACATCTAGGTTCCCGCCGTACAGCCTATAGGATCATGCAGAACTTCTTTTGGCCAAACTTTAATCAGGCTGTTCGGACATATTGTAGTACGTGTGACACATGTCAACGCGTAGGAAAGCGGGGGGACCACCCAAGAGCTAGGCTTATGTCTATGCCTATCATTGGGGAGCCCTTTGCCCGCATAGCCGTTGACATTGTAGGTCCACTGGCCAGGGCTAGTCCATCCGGTAAGAAATATATTCTCACCATGGTGGATTATGCCACTCGCTATCCAGAGGCAGTAGCGCTGTCTAATATAGAGGCAGAGACAGTTGCTGATGCCCTGGTTAGGATTTTTACCAGAGCCGGGTTCCCTAAAGAGATTCTCTCTGACCAGGGAACCCAATTTACTGCTGTGCTCACCCAGCAACTGTGGAAGGTGTGCGGCATTAAACCGCTGCTTAGCTCACCTTACCATCCACAGACTAACGGTCTCTGCGAGCGATTTAACGGTACCCTCAAACAGATGCTGAGGACCTTTTCTGACACTTGCAGAGACTGGGAGTGATTCCTGCCTCATCTGTTGTTTTCATACAGAGAGGTGCCCCAGGAATCTACTGGGTTCTCCCCCTTTGAGTTGCTATATGGGAGAAGGGTCCGCGGACCCCGAGATCTCATTAGAGGCCACTGGCAGGGGGAGACAGAGCAGGAAGGGACCCCCATAGTACCGTATGTTCTGGAACTCCGGGACCGCATGGAGAAACTGTCTCTAATGGTAAGGGAGAATCTCCAGGTGGCTCAGGGGAGACAGAAGAGATGGTACGATCGGGGTGCCCGACAGCGAGTCTTCCAGGTTGGGCAGAAAGTGTTAGTACTCAAACCTGTGAAGGCAAACAAGATGCAGGCATCTTGGCAGGGCCCGTATAAGGTGTTAGCACAGGTATGTGATACTACCTACCTTATAGCCAGCTGTTCGGATGAAAGGATCCAGCGATCCTTCCATGTGAACATGCTAAAGGAGTATCAGGAGAGACCGGAGAATGTCGCTGCAGTATGTGCCCCTGCTGCAGATGATACAGAAAGTTTACCCCTACCAGATTTGTTAGAGAGGGACCCCCAGACGGATCTTACTAGCCTGGTACAGCTAGGGGACAGATTGAGCTCCACCGAGAAGGGCCAGGCAAGACAGCTTCTGTGGGAGAAGCAGGCGACGTTCTCCCAAGAACCTGGCTACACTACCCTAGCTGTACACAAGGTAGAAACCCCTGGACAGAACCCTCTGCGACAACCCCCTTACCGTATCCCTGAAGCAGTCCGGGAAGGAATGCGGAAGGAGATACAGGAGATGACCCAGCTTGGGGTCATCGAACACTCCGATAGCCCTTGGGCTTCGCCTGTAGTCCTGGTGCCCAAGAAGGATGGGACCACCCGGTTCTGTGTGGACTACAGGCGCCTCAATGAGCGGACCACCACTGATGCCTACCCGATGCCTCGGGTAGACGAATTGTTAGATCGCATTGCCAGGGGACGCTATCATAGACCTGTGCAAAGGCTACTGCTATCCCAAGTCGGCCTTCGTCACCCCATTTGGCCTGTACCAATTCAAGGTCATGCCATTTGGGATGAAGAATGCACCGGCTACCTTCCAGCGTATGGTGGATAGACTTCTTGATGGATTCCAGGAATTTGCTTGTGCATACCTGGATGACATTGCGATCTACAGTGAGTCCTGGGAGGAACACCTGGTACATGTAGGGGTAGTACTGGACAAAATTCGGGCCGCTGGCCTGACATTGAAGCCAGAGAAGTGCCATTTAGGTATGGCTGAAGTGCAGTACCTGGGTCACAGAGTAGGGTGTGGGAGCCAGAGACCAGAGCCAGCCAAGATAGAGGCAGTAGCTAACTGGCCCACACCTATCACTAAGACCCAGGTGTTAGCCTTCCTAGGGACAGCAGGGTACTATAGACGCTTTGTCCCCGACTACAGCACTATTGCTAAACCCCTGACTGATCTGACGAAGAAAAACCTCCCTAAGCAGGTCCTGTGGTCTCCAGCTTGTGAAGCTGCCTTTCAAGCACTCAAACAGGCTCTTGTGAATGCCCCTGTCCTGGCTGCCCCAGTCCCTAACAAACGTTTTCTCATCCATACAGATGCTTCCATGTATGGACTGGGGGCTGTGCTGAGCCAGGTCGGGGAGGATGGAGGAGAGCACCCTGTCGAATATCTCAGCAGAAAGCTGTTACCCAGAGAAGTGAGTTATGCGGCAGTGGAGAAGGAGTGTTTGGCCCTGGTGTGGGCATTGAAAAAGTTAAGCCCTTACTTATATGGACAGGAATTTTCCCTTGTGACGGACCACAATCCTCTTGTCTGGCTTAACCGGGTCTCGGGAGACAATGGCAGACTGCTGAGGTGGAGTTTAGCACTACAACCATATAACTTCACCATCAGCTATCGACCCGGTAAGCAGAACGGGAATGCAGATGGATTGTCCAGGCAAACCGACATCCTCACCACCTCTTAGTCCGGTCATCCCCACGTTGACCCGCCAAAGGGTCAAGCCGGGTCTGCCGGAGTGTCCCACAAGGGGGGAGCCGTGTGACAGATTCATCTGTATGGCTGGTTCATCTGTTTCCCTTTGTTTCGCTGGATTTCCTGTTCGTATACCCCTGTTCGTGTAATTACAAACTACCGATTGAAACTACCGAACGAACGACCACCCAGGAGAGGAGTGTGCTGCTGGTTAGCCTCTTGGCCCCAATTAGAACGTTGTGGTTAACCGCAGACACCTCTCCATTCCATTCGTACGGGTGGTCGTCATTCGCATGTCGACCACGAGGCAGCGGCCATTTTGGGACACGAGAAAGCATAGCGGTGTTCGGTACAAATTGTATGGAACTAAAAATGGACACTTTAATCTACCGAACACCGCTGGAAGCTGATGCCCACCTTCTATTTCGACGAGGCATGCGAACGCCGGTCTGTTCGGGAGTTTTATGCATTCGTATGGACTTTTACCCAGATGGCCGTCCCATGGAGTCATTCGTATACCGAAGGACTGGTGAAAGACTTTGAATCCATGGCGATTCGACTAGATACATCGGATCTGAGCGCTATTCGGTGAAATTATGCACTCAGATCCAGGCTGTCTGGGGATACGTTATACGAACTATATCCATTCGGTATTTTCCCAGTTATGTATTTAATGTATTTTTGTTACTGTATTTTAAAATGGCGATTGTCTCTACCCTGGGAGATAATTAGGTTTCTTCCTAATTATCTCCGGGGTAGAGAAGACGGATTTATGGGTAAGATGGGAAGGGCTTATATTGAAGCCACTGCGATTGGCTACTGTACAATATATTTTACAGTCTTCCACAAGGTCCCTTCGGGGAGTGTCCACCTTGTGGAGACCTGCATAAATACCGGGCAGGTAGCCCCCATTAAACAGATTCTGATTTGACCCTCAAGACAGAGCTTGGTCTCGTTTGTGGGGGAATTACTACTGGGACAGCGCTTTCGTTATTTTTAGCTGTGGAAGGTGTTCGACTGTTTTGCTGATCGGGAATTGCCGTGTTCGCGAACTTCGTTCGGGAGTTTGGCGGTCGGCTGGATATAAACTGCATTTCTGGAGAAGGGGATTATTCACTAAACGGCGGCTTCATCTACCTGGCGATGAGTGTCTTAACACATTAACTCATTAAGAACCACTCATCAACAAATGTGAGTTAAATTAATATATTGGAAACCCTTCCACTAACCGTGCTAATCCTGACATCAGTGTATACAGCACTGTGTGATAAAGAGAGAATGTAAACACACAGATAGCGGCAGCGTATACTGCACTGTGTAATATAGAGAATATACATGATGGAGTGTGATGGCTGCAACGTAATTAATTGATATATTTATTTGTACGTATATATATATATATATATATATATATGTATTTGCCCTATTCAATATTCTAAGCAGAATAAAAATATTGTATACGGCTTGGATGTGATATAACTGCAACATCAACCCCACAATACATCCTGTTAAAATATATTCTGTGTCTTGACGTTTTCAGAAGATAAAAGGTTTCGTTTATACAGAAATGAAACCTTTTATCTTCTGCAAAAGTCAAGGCACAGAATATATTTTAACAGGATGTATTGTGTGGTTAATGTCGCAGTTACATCACATCTAAGCCGTAAACTATTGTTTAGTTCTGATAAATAGTTAACAACACCTTTTCTTCATCAGATACAATAGTTTGCGGTTGTTTTTAAGAAATACTATTAATTTCATAACAATCTGATATAAACATCAAAATATCAGGGAGGCAGTGTATACAGCACCGTGTAACATACAGAGAATACACACAGGGAGGCAGTGTATATACAGAGTGTAATATATAGAGAATACACACAGGGAGGCAGTGTATACAGCACTGTGTAATATATAGAGAATACACACAGGGAGGCGGTGTATACAGCACTGTGTAATATATAGAGAATACACACAGGGAGGCAGTGTATACAGCACTGTGTAATATATAGAGAATACACACAGGGAGGCAGTGTATATACAGAGTGTAATATATAGAGAATACACACAGGGAGGCGGTGTATACAGCACCGTGTAATATATAGAGAATACACACAGGGAGGCAGTGTATACAGCACTGTGTAACATACAGAGAATACACACAGGGAGGCAGTGTATATACAGAGTGTAATATATAGAGAATACACACAGGGAGGCGGTATATACAGCACCGTGTAATATATAGAGAATACACACAGGGAGGCAGTGTATACAGCACTGTGTAATATATAGAGAATACACACAGGGAGGCAGTGTATACAGCACTGTGTAATATATAGAGAATACACACAGGGAGGCAGTGTATATACAGAGTGTAATATATAGAGAATACACACAGTGAGGCAGTGTATACAGCACTGTGTAATATATAGAGAATACACACAGGGAGGCAGTGTATATACAGAGTGTAATATATAGAGAATACACACAGGGAGTCAGTGTATACAGCACTGTGTAATATATAGAGAATACACACAGGGAGGCAGTGTATACAGCACTGTGTAATATATAGAGAATACACACAGTGAGGCAGTGTATACAGCACTGTGTAATATATAGAGAATACACACAGGGAGGCAGTGTATATACAGAGTGTAATATATAGAGAATACACACAGGAGGCAGTGTATACAGCACTGTGTAATATATAGAGAATACACACAGGGAGGCGGTGTATACAGCACTGTGTAATATATAGAGAATACACACAGGGAGGCGGTGTATACAGCACTGTGTAATATATAGAGAATACACACAGGGAGGCAGTGTATACAGCACTGTGTAATATATAGAGAATACACACAGTGAGGCAGTGTATATACAGAGTGTAATAGATAGAGAATACACACAGGGAGTCAGTGTATACAGCACTGTGTAATATATAGAGAATACACACAGGGAGGCAGTGTATATACAGAGTGTAATAGATAGAGAATAAACACAGGGAGTCAGTGTATACAGCACCGTGTAATATATAGAGAATACACACAGGGAGGCAGTGTATACAGCACCGTGTAATATATAGAGAATACACACAGGGAGGCAGTGTATATACAGAGTGTAATAGATAGAGAATACACACAGGGAGTCAGTGTATACAGCACCGTGTAATATATAGAGAATACACACAGGGAGGCAGTGTATACAGCACTGTGTAATATATAGAGAATACACACAGGGAGGCAGTGTATACAGCACTGTGTAATATATAGAGAATACACACAGGGAGGCAGTGTATATACAGAGTGTAATATATAGAGAATACACACAGGGAGGCGGTGTATACAGCACCGTGTAATATATAGAGAATACACACAGGGAGGCAGTGTATACAGCACTGTGTAATATACAGAGAATACACACAGGGAGGCAGTGTATACAGCACTGTGTAATATATAGAGAATACACACAGGGAGGCAGTGTATATACAGAGTGTAATATATAGAGAATACACACAGTGAGGCAGTGTATACAGCACTGTGTAATATATAGAGAATACACACAGGGAGGCGGTGTATACAGCACTGTGTAATATATAGAGAATACACACAGGGAGGCGGTGTATACAGCACTGTGTAATATATAGAGAATACACACAGGGAGGCAGTGTATACAGCACTGTGTAATATATAGAGAATACACACAGTGAGGCAGTGTATATACAGAGTGTAATAGATAGAGAATACACACAGGGAGTCAGTGTATACAGCACTGTGTAATATATAGAGAATACACACAGGGAGGCAGTGTATATACAGAGTGTAATAGATAGAGAATAAACACAGGGAGTCAGTGTATACAGCACCGTGTAATATATAGAGAATACACACAGGGAGGCAGTGTATACAGCACCGTGTAATATATAGAGAATACACACAGGGAGGCAGTGTATATACAGAGTGTAATAGATAGAGAATACACACAGGGAGTCAGTGTATACAGCACCGTGTAATATATAGAGAATACACACAGGGAGGCAGTGTATACAGCACTGTGTAATATATAGAGAATACACACAGTGAGGCAGTGTATACAGCACTGTGTAATATATAGAGAATACACACAGGGAGGCAGTGTATATACAGAGTGTAATATATAGAGAATACACACAGGGAGTCAGTGTATACAGCACTGTGTAATATATAGAGAATACACACAGGGAGGCGGTGTATACAGCACTGTGTAATATATAGAGAATACACACAGGGAGGCAGTGTATACAGCACTGTGTAATATATAGAGAATACACACAGGGAGGCAGTGTATACAGCACTGTGTAATATATAGAGAATACACACAGTGAGGCAGTGTATACAGCACTGTGTAATATATAGAGAATACACACAGGGAGGCAGTGTATATACAGAGGGTAATATATAGAGAATACACACAGGGAGGGAGTGTATACAACGCACAGCGCATATATAGAAATATACACACAGGGAAGCAGTGCTTATATACAGCACCGTGTAATATATAGAATACACACAGGAAGGCAGTATATACAGCACAGTATAATATATAGAAATACACACAGAGAGCAGTGAATACAGCACTATGTAATATATAGAAATACACACAGGAGGCAGTGTATACAGCACTGTGTAATATATAGAGAATACACACAGGGAGGTAGTGTATACAGCACTGTGTAATATATAGAGAATACACACAGGGAGGCAGTGTATACAGCACCGTGTAATATATAGAGAATACACACAGGGAGGCAGTGTATACAGCACCGTGTAATATATAGAGAATACACACAGGGAGGCAGTGTATATACAGAGTGTAATTTACAGAGAATACACACAGGGAGGCAGTGTATACAGCACCGTGTAATATATAGAGAATACACACAGGGAGGCAGTGTATACGGCACTGTGTAATATATAGAGAATACACACAGGGAGGCAGTGTATACGGCACTGTGTAATACAGAGATAATGTATACACACGTATATCATCTTTACTCTCAGCCCAGGGCAGTTGCTATACCTCCAGCTACCAAAAAACTATTGAAATGTATTTCTAGCCTTTGAAATAAAGTCATTTGGTGCAAACTTACCGATAATTAGGACTGTGTTGTGAGCTGCTTCCACGACACGGTTTGGAGGGTGTTTCTGCGTGTGGGTGTGTGAGGGATTAGCTTTGCTGGTGACTGTTACACCGTATTGTGTTTGTTTTGCAGAAGTAATTTTATGGCACAAGGAAGTCGGAATTAAACTGAAACCAAAGATTTCTTTAGTTGTTTGGTTTATAGGATTAATAGCTAGAGAGGGTTATGGTTGTAGTATAAGGGCTGTTTACTATTATTGGGTTTAGGGTTAGAGTTGGGTTGAGTATAATATTGGGGGACATGGTGTGATTGGTTTATAGGATTAATAGCCAGAGAGGGTTATGGTTGTAGTATAAGGGCTGTTTACTGTTATTGGGTTTAGGGTTAGAGTTGGGTTGAGTATAATATTGGGGGACATGGTGTGATTGGTTTATAGGATTAATAGCTAGAGAGGGTTATGGTTGTAGTATAAGGGCTGTTTACTATTATTGGGTTTGTGGTTAGAGTTGGGTTGAGTATAATATTGGGGGACATGGGGTGTTTGGTTTATAGGATTAATAGCCAGAGAGGGTTATGGTTGTAGTATAAGGGCTGTTTACTATTATTGGGCTTAGGGTTAGAGTTGGGTTGAGTATAATATTGGGGGACATGGGGTGTTTGGGTTATAGGATTAATAGCCAGAGAGGGTTATGGTTGTAGTATAAGGGCTGTTTACTATTATTGGGTTTACGGTTAGAGTTGGGTTGAGTATAATATTGGGGGACATGGGGTGTTTGGTTTATAGGATTAATAGCCAAAGAGGGTTATGGTTGTAGTATAAGGGCTGTTTACTATTATTGGGTTTAGGGTTAGAGTTGGGTTGAGTATAATATTGGGGGACATGGGGTGTTTGGGTTATAGGATTAATAGCCAGAGAGGGTTATGGTTGTAGTATAAGGGCTGTTTACTATTATTGGGTTTACGGTTAGAGTTGGGTTGAGTATAATATTGGGGGACATGGGGTGTTTGGTTTATAGGATTAATAGCCAAAGAGGGTTATGGTTGTAGTATAAGGGCTGTTTACTATTATTGGGTTTAGGGTTAGAGTTGGGTTGAGTATAATATTGGGGGACATGGGGTGTTTGGTTTATAGGATTAATAGCTAGAGAGGGTTATGGTTGTAGTATAAGGGCTGTTTACTGTTATTGGGTTTAGGGTTAGAGTTGGGTTTAGTTTAATATTGGGGGACATGGGGTGTTAGGTTTATAGGATTAATAGCTAGAGAGGGTTATGGTTGTAGTATAAGGGCTGTTTACTATTATTGGGTTTAGGGTTAGAGTTGGGTTGAGTATAATATTGGGGGACATGGGGTGTTTGGTTTATAGGATTAATAGCCAGAGAGGGTTATGGTTGTAGTATAAGGGCTGTTTACTATTATTGGGTTTACGGTTAGAGTTGGGTTGAGTATAACATTGGGGGACATGGGGTGTTTGGTTTATAGGATTAATAGCCAGAGAGGGTTATGGTTGTAGTATAAGGGCTGTTTACTATTATTGGGTTTAGGGTTAGAGTTGGGTTGAGTATAATATTGGGGGACATGGGGTGTTTGGTTTATAGGATTAATAGCTAGAGAGGGTTATGGTTGTAGTATAAGGGCTGTTTACTATTATTGGGTTTACGGTTAGAGTTGGGTTGAGTATAATATTGGGGGACATGGGGTGTTTGGTTTATAGGATTAATAGCCAGAGAGGGTTATGGTTGTAGTATAAGGGCTGTTTACTATTATTGGGTTTAGGGTTAGAGTTGGGTTGAGTATAATATTGGGGGACATGAGGTGTTTGGTTTATAGGATTAATAGCTAGAGAGGGTTATGGTTGTAGTATAAGGGCTGTTTACTATTATTGGGTTTAGGGTTAGAGTTGGGTTGAGTATAATATTGGGGGACATGGGGTGTTTGGTTTATAGGATTAATAGCTAGAGAGGGTTATGGTTGTAGTATAAGGGCTGTTTACTATTATTGGGTTTAGGGTTAGAGTTGGGTTGAGTATAATATTGGGGGACATGGGGTGTTTGGTTTATAGGATTAATAGCCAGAGAGGGTTATGGTTGTAGTATAAGGGCTGTTTACTGTTATTGGGTTTAGGGTTAGAGTTGGGTTGAGTATAATATTGGGGGACATGGTGTGATTGGTTTATAGGATTAATAGCTAGAGAGGGTTATGGTTGTAGTATAAGGGCTGTTTACTATTATTGGGTTTGTGGTTAGAGTTGGGTTGAGTATAATATTGGGGGACATGGGGTGTTTGGTTTATAGGATTAATAGCCAGAGAGGGTTATGGTTGTAGTATAAGGGCTGTTTACTATTATTGGGTTTAGGGTTAGAGTTGGGTTGAGTATAATATTGGGGGACATGGGGTGTTTGGTTTATAGGATTAATAGCTAGAGAGGGTTATGGTTGTAGTATAAGGGCTGTTTACTATTATTGGGTTTAGGGTTAGAGTTGGGTTAAGTATAATATTGGGGACATGGGGTGTTTGGTTTATAGGATTAATAGCTAGAGAGGGTTATGGTTGTAGTATAAGGGCTGTTTACTATTATTGGGTTTAGGGTTAGAGTTGGGTTAAGTATAATATTGGGGGACATGGGGTGTTTGGTTAATAGGATTAATAGCCAGAGAGGGTTATGGTTGTAGTATAAGGGCTGTTTACTATTATTGGGTTTAGGGTTAGAGTTGGGTTGAGTATAATATTGATTGTGGCGGGACCGCTGCCTAGCTTTGAATTGCCCTTTCCTATGTGTGCATGTGCCTTCCAGGAGTACCTGTTCAAATGGGGTTTCGCAGCCTTTCATCTGATAGGGCAGCGAGACCCCTCTCGTCCCTAGACGCTGATAGGTGCAAATGCCGATTGGCGCAACCAAGTTTCGCGCCCTTTCTTTGTATTGGGCGGCAAAACTCCTTCTTCCCCAGAGCGCTGATTGGCGCAATTTGCTTCGCACACTTTCAGCCGATTTGTTGTAGCTTGGTTTAGGCGCGAAGTTTAAATTGGCAGGACTAAACCAAACAACTCCATGGAATTACTTTTGGGGATGTACAGAGCCTCGAGCCCCAGTCTTTGAAGGCTGATATCTCGGTCTTTGTACATCTGATCATTCTGCTTTTTGCTACTTATCAATATAAGTTTCAACCCTGTAACCCCTTCATGTCCCAGGGCACCGAGCCCCAAAGCTCACCCTGTATGTATTATGTTTTCATGTGTGTCCCTGTGTCCTGTTGGTATCTCTCACAGCGGGAGATGGTTATCTGGCAGCACTGAGTTCTACATCCTCTATAACTGTTCCTGCGGCTCTGCTATTAAGGCTAACTGGAAACAGAGGTTCATTAGCCAAGGCACATACTACTGTTTCCTCATCTCTTCCTCTTTCAAAATCTGTTCTTTTTTTCAGTTTTTTTTAAATCTATTCTTCTTTGAATACATAGGATAAAGTAGTGACTACTTTGTCTTACATAGTTTTCCTACGCTTGACATTTCTGACAAACAACCCATTAACCCCTCTTTCCCCAATCCCCCAAAAAAGACACTGATATCAAATTAAGAAGTGCTTGATCACAGCTTTATTAAACAGTATATTTAAACTTGAATCTTTAAATTGCTGGTTGTAGGGGTCTGTCCCACAGGTAGGTCTCTTACAACCAGAATTCAGTTCCTGTCCAATTATCAGTAACAGGAACCCCTAGGAACTCCCATTGGCCTAGCTTTCTCTACTGTTCTTCCAGGTGCTGATCAGGGCAAACTCCGTTGCTATGACAATAACTGAAAAATAAAACACAAAAACCCAACAGGAAAGAACAAAGAGAGTAAGGACTAAAAGGCCCTATGAAAAGCTAGCAAGACCAGGAAAGAGGATGGGAGGGCAGGAAAAGCTGCTTGCAGTATGCTGCCCAGGATCAAGAGGAAACAGAAAGGTAAGTGACAACAATTGATACTTTCACCCCAAGATTGCATCCGTCTTTCTTCCAATTAATAATGGTCTTGTAGGACTGTCCCAGACATTTATGTAGGGCTGTCATGTCCCATCTCATGAAAAACAGTGCACTGCGCTCTCTTTCAGAGGACATCTTACATTGAGGACTAACCAGGATGTGAACCTGGGATTTGGGGTTCTAAGGCAGTGATGTTGATGCGATAGAATAAATAAATACATACATACATAACGAGGGTCAGCCCCCAGTGAATCCTTAAAATTCACAATCAAATGCCCTAAAGTAATCAAATGCTCAAAAACTGAATGAAATATGAATAGGAAAATACCATATCTACATGTAATATTACGGATATTTTGCAGTCAACTGAAAGGAGCATTTAAGCGCCCTCTTGGTTCGTTTCTTCCAGAACAAAAAAAAAAAATTGAAATTGAAACTATCCGGCCGAGCATAATTTTCCACTTGTTGGAAGTTTATATTTTCTTATTTTTTTTAGTATTATTGTTAAAGTTTTGTTTCACATTTAATGGTATCTATTTAAAAGATCTCGTGCAGGTAATTCAGCAGGAATTTCTTTCGATCCACTCTTTCACGTTTTGGATTCCTTTGTTCTCTCATTTGAAAGGAGACATCTTCTAAAGCATTATAGAGGAACTTTAGCACCTCTGTGTGTCTGCCTCGTGATCTCATATGGTCTTCTGCTGTGTAATTTTCCAGAGCCATGACCTGCTCTGCACCCAATAATTTGAAGGCCTTCTCAAATTGATAGAAGTCACCACTAGTTTTGTTGGTGAGGATAATGAGAGGGTAAATACCTGGGGGGAACAAACAACAACAAGAAATAACTAGATTTAGTCTTTGGGTTCACTTCTCACCAATGCCAGATAATTATGATATTAGCTGATGATAATTTAATATGTTAAATAAATATTTAATGAGAGATATTTTTGACCATACTTTGGACACAGGGAGAGATATTTTTATGAAACAAAAAGCTACTGACAAAAAGTTTGAAGAATGAATGTAGTCAGAATGATGGGTGATATGTTTTATGTCTAATTATTTTTATTTGAAGCGATTGGCCCCTGCCAGTGGAATACTGTTCGCAGTTTTGATGTT